TGTGGAGTCTAGGTGGACAACGCAGGACAAGAAGGTACAATGGGAATTTTAATGAGTTGGGGATGGGACAGGGTAATAGTGGGTGAACTTGATTCAAGTGCATTCTAAGCATGTAGGGAAACAGAATATGAAATACCTTATCCAGCACACATAAAATATGTGAAATAACAATGAAAAATAGGAAAATGAAAGGAAATAAAAGTATGAATGACTAAGAAAAATCAAGTGTGAGAAAAAGAAAAAATGGGGAGACATAAAGAAAAAATGAAAAAGCGAGCAAGAATAAACACAAACGACATATAAATAAACAAGAATAAACTCAAAACACCAAACCCTAAACCCCTTACCGGACGACGTGAAGTAACTAGCGGCTCACGGTGCGCAGTAGGTCACAAACTGTCAGGATGGAGTCTCTCACAACGCTCGAGTCCAGCAGGTCACACCCAACGAGCTCCCTGCAGTAAAAGGACAAAAGCCAGCCCACTCGGGCCCTTAAATACATGCTGCTCTATGACATCACAAAGGCCCTGTGAGGAGCAGTACGGAGTGGGCCAATCATGGCAGGCTGTCACCCACAATGGTTTGCCTCAAGGAACTTTTCAAATTTATAACAATCATTGCGTGGAGAGTTTGAGCCCTCCCCTGTGACGTGGCACCTTGTTTTGTGTCCTCTCAGGATGGGTGGGTGGAAGGGTTGAACCCAGCCCCTCAAGCTCCTCTCTAAAGGCACACACACTGTCCATGTGTCAGGAGCCTCAAGCCTAATCTCTTCCCAAGGCTCTGCCTCTGAACACTTGCATTGGGGTTCAAAAGAATCTGCTAACATTTATGATGCATATTAAACTTTCTGTTATAGCCATGTGGATCTAATTTCATATTTTCCTCCACTTTCTATTCATAGAACAGTTTGGGGGCCTGTTGTCCCCTGGCAGGACACACTTTGTAACCAGGGGCAGTAGCCATGTACCTGCACTCTAGGTGGCAGCTTGTGCTGCAGAGGCACCAAAAGAGAGAGGGGACACTGGTCAGTGCAGCCCTGAGATCAAACAGTCTGAGCACAGGTCCAGAATCAACTCCACCCGAGCTTCTTGTCCTCCCGAGTCATGGCTCGTGTGTCAGTGGTGAGGCTGGCGGATGATCTGGTAAGGTGAAAGCTGGCGTCTCTCTAAGATCATGGGCTGATGATTAGGCTAAGCTCACGTCCTCTGTGGGCACAGCAATCCCCTCACTGGAGGCAAGATGACCCCATAAACCGTGTCCCGCAGGTCAGGGAAAACATGACCTACCCTGAAGGTCAGTTTACACACCCAAACCTAGCTGGGCATTGTGGGACCCACTTGTAATCCCGGCCACTCAGGAGGTGGAGGTAGCAGGTTATAAGGACTTTGAGTCCAGCACGGGCAACATAGCACCCATCTCAAAAACCAAACCCAACCAAATCAAACCAAGCACAAAACCTTTGTGTTCCGATATGCCAGCTTCTGCCACCCAGCAAAACTTCGGTGAAGTCTCATTGTAATCGGATATCCAGGATTCTTGTCCCATTAGACACCTGTTGAAGGCAGGGTCTAATCAAATTGTCACCATTCGTGAAGCACTCAGCTAAGTTCTGTTCATTTTAAAAGTGTTTTTATTGTTGTGTTGTATCAATGAAGTAATCAGTAATGGCATTTGGCTTGAATCTTCCCTTCAATCATTCACTCACTTGTTCACTCATTCATTCGTTCATTCAAGAAAACCTTTGGACCCGCAACCTCTGCACCAGGGCACATGGGTGGATGGAAAGAGAGGTCTGAGAAAAGGTGGTGGAATTAACACATCTCATGAGCCAAATTCTCCATCAACCACTTGATTGGGCAGGGATAAATGGAGAAATGGACAGGGTTAGGCCATACCCATGGGTCATTACTCTGTAGTGGGGACACAGGTGTGCACACAGCCCAAGTAAAATGTGTACAGCGTGTGGGGTGCTAGTGGGAGAGGAGCTGAATGAGGGAGATGAAGGGGAGGGAATATGGAGGATGGACTTCACATATGCTATGAACTAGAGCAAAAAAATCTCTTGCGATTGCTGTAAGTGGGGTGGGGAGGGGTCGAGGGAGAGATGGTGGGTGGTCTAATCTATGTACAATACAAGCCCATCTGGAATTGTCACAATGCAGCCCCTCTACAATGAACAGATCCTAATTTTGAAAAGAGTAATGGATGCTGGCCAGGCACGGCGGCACAGGCTTATGATCCCAGCTACGTCGGAGGCATAGGTAGGAGGATGACTATCTGAAGCCGGCCCAGGCAAAAAGTTTGTGAGACCCTATCTCAATACTGAAGCCAGGTATAATGATGCATGCCTATCATCCCAGTATCTGGGAGGTGTAGATAAGAGGAACTTGGTTGAAACAGCTCTGGGCAAAAATATGAGACCTTATCTGAAAAATAACTAAAGCAAAAATGGGCTGGGAGTATGTCTCAAGTGGTAAGGCCCTGAGTTCAAATTCCAACACCATTTAAAAAAAAAAAGCTCACAAAGCCTACTGTAAACACATACTGCATCCAAACTGCAGGGAGAGACGAAGAAAGTAGTTTGTTTCAAAGTACTCGATATTTTCAGTGTCTAACTTTGCATCACCCTGACAGAAGCTCACTTTACACATCTATTTCTCAGTGGTCACGCACTGTGACTCTTTTTCATTTATAGGAAAAAGGAAGGAATGTCAGGACCCCTGGCCCACTGCTGAAACGCACAAGTACACACTGTGTGCAAATATTTATACAAGCGGCAAGACCTTAGCATATAAATCATTTTGTTTTACAATGTCCTATTGCCAGTGAGCGCCCCCAAATATTAAGACTGGTGTATGGATCCAGCCTGACACAACTGCAGCCATCTTTCTTGAAAATGGTCGTGATCGCCCCTGAGAAACTGAGGCTGGTTTTTCCTGGGGAGTTTCCCAGCAAACCGTGAGGACCCTGGCACCAGGGCTGTGCCTTATTCTTCTAGATTATCATAAGATAAGCCTGGTCCGTCTCAGCCAGGATGAAATCACTTTTGTTCTGAGTCATACATACGCCCCTCTTTCTGACCCAAATTGAGGGGATCCAATGGTCTTGCTGGTTCCCAGCACCATGCTTCCATTCATAAAGCCAACCAATAACTCAGGAAGCAGAGACAGCAGGGTGGAGGTTCAAGGCTAGCCTGGGAAAAAAGATAGCAAGACCCAATCTCAAAAATAAGGCTGTGTGATGCTGGTGGCTCACTCCTGTAATCCCAGCTACTTGGGAGGCTGAGATTGGGATGGTTGAGGTTGGAGAGCAACCCAGGCAAATAGTTCTAGAGACCCAATCTCCAAAATAACCAGAGCAAAATGGACTGGAGGTACAGCTCAAACTGTAGAGCACCTGCTTTGCAAGTGTGAAGCCCTGAGTTCAAGACACCAGTCTTACCTCCCACTCCACCCCCCAAAAAAGCAAGGCAGTGTAGTGACTCGTGACTATAATTCTATCTCCTCAGGAGGTGGGAGTAGGAGGATTTGGGTCCATGGCTGGCCTGAGTAAAAGTTCAAGACCCTATCTGAAAAGCAAGCTGAAAGTAAAAGGAACATGGGCCGTGGCTCCAGTGGTAGAGCAGCTTGAGGCCCTGAGTTCAATCTCTAGTACCACCCAAAAAAACTTTGTAAGGACCCCAATAAATTGCATTGTGTGATCCATACTGGGTGTGTCTGCCTTTCTGTGGTCTCACAGGATCTCATACACCAGGACCAGGTTGTGGGTTGTTCTGAAAAACTGGTCTGAGACTTTTATACTTACCAGTTGGTAGACGTGTTTGAAATACGTCATACTTGCAGAGAACATGTGACTCAACAAAAATGACAAGATTTTACACCTGGGACAAGAGTACAGAATCATTTCTTATTTGGAGATGAAACTTATCCCAAACCTTTGACTGGCCTTTCCTTCCCCGCCAACACTCCATGACAGCTTCTATTTCTGCCAGGTAAAAGGCCACCAGCTAGACTGGGACTGTGGCTCAGGTGGTTAAGTGCTTTAGCCAGGCCAGGTCCTGAGTTCAATCCCCAGTATTGCGCCCTGCCCCTCCGTCACTCTTTGGTCCTGCTAGCCTCAAACCATGATCCTTCTAATCTCCACCTCCCAAATTGCTGAGATTATAGGGGTGAGCCACCACGCCAGGCCTCTCCCCACCCCCAGGTGCTGTGGCATGAACCCAGAGCCTCAATCAGGCTAGACTTGTCTAACACTGAGCTACAACCCCAGCCTAAATGCTCTGATACGTACATTTGTAGTTGAAGATAAATGGTAAAAAAAAAAAGAATTAATAATAATAATAAATAAATTATCCTTATAGTTTAAATTTCTTCTTAGTTAAATAGCAAACGCCCTACAAGCTCAGGGAGGCTGCCAAAGGCAGAAGTGGCTACAAGTTGTACAGCAGACCCTGGCTGCCAGCCTAATCGATCTCTCATCCTAAGGAAATGTTCCCTTTTCCACCTCATTTTGCATTTATCTATCTTTTTTTTTCCTTCCCCACCCCTCCAAGGCTGGGGATCAAACCCGGGTCTCCTCACATGCTAGGCAAGCATTCTACCACTGAGCCACACCCCCGCACACATTCTCTATCACGGCAGAATTCCCACTTCAGCCCATCCTCTATTACAGCCCAGGTCCACCGTGATCAATCACGCGTGATTTTCCTCTTGTACATTTTCATATAGTAAAAACAAGTGTTAGGGGATTAAAAAAAAAAAGAAAACCCTCACAAAGGAATGTCATTTCAAACAGTAAAGAAGACTTCTGGCACCAAGGGGAGACCGGAAGCGCAGCAGAGGGAAGTTGACAAGAACCCAACCACTCTCAGCAGAAAGCCAGGACCGGCTGTAGCGCCCAGCCTGCGCTTGGGAGCGGCTCCTTTAAGAGGCGGGGCTAAGGGGCGGGGCTTGGCGGCCGCCCGCTTTCCCAGCCTGCCCCGCGCCTGCGCGACGGCGGTTCGGCCACGTCCCTGGCCACGTCGCGCCCGCTCTCGCCATCTTCGCCGCTTCCTCTCAGGGGTCGCCGCCTCCGCCGCCTCCTGAGCCGCTGAGCCTCGGGGCCGCCGCGCGTTTGCTACCTGTCGCCGCCGCCATGAACATCTTCCGGTTGACCGGGGACTTGTCCCATTTGGCGGCCATCGTCATCCTGCTGCTGAAGATCTGGAAGACGCGCTCCTGTGCCGGTGAGCGGCCGGGCGAGGCCCAAGAGGCTGGGGCGCGCGGGGCCGGGGCTCCCGAGGGGGCGGGGCGGGGGGGACCCCGGCCGTCCCTGGAAGGGGGCTGGGATCGATCGCGGTGGCCATCACGGCCGTCGGTGGGCGATGGGCCCGGTGTGAGGGGACTGTGCGGCCCCTCGCGGTGGCCCTGCTGGTGTCGCAGCGCAGCCCCGCTGGACTCGGTTTGCTCCTGAATTTGAGCCGTGGGCCCAGGGGGCGCTGGCCGCGCTGTGCGGTGCCCTGTTCTGTCTGAAAACTTTGGAATGGGGGTCCGGTGGGCGTGTCCCTCATCCGGGGGATTCTCCGGGCGGAACCCAGGTTGGAGACCCTCGGATCAATGGGACTGGAGAGGGGAGGAAGACAGGACCGTGACCTGACGTGGCAGCGGGGAGATGGGGGCCTGGGAGGGCCGGGGATAGAGGTCATCTTGCTGCCCACCCTGCCCCTGCAAGGACGGGGCTGTAGGATAGTGCTGGTTTGTAGGGGGTTCGGGTCAGGTCACCCAAGCCCTAGAATCCCGGATCGCACCCGCCATCCGCAGGGCTGGGGGGGCTTGGGTCTTTGAGTTTGTTGACGCAGTTCGTGCTGCTTTGAGAGGCAAATGATTTCTTAAACTTCGAGGGCCTTCATCTATCTAATAACGGGTTCTGCTAAATCTGCGGCTCTGGGTACCCTTGAGGTCCCATGTGGTCCCACGCGGTTCCTGGCTCCACGTCACCAGTGAGTTGGCCTGGTCCCTCCCCACAGGACATGCTCATTTCATGCAAGTCTTGCTGGGAGCCAGTGCAACAAACCTCTCCCAGATAATGGAGTTGTATATTTCATTAAGGAAGGCACATTTTAAATAGTTTCGTCAAATGCAAAGCCTTCCTTAAACTTATAACTTTGAAGAACTCCAGAACTTAATTTTTTCAGGCAGCGAAGGATGGGAATCCTAAAGGACCTGGGTGGCAGATTCCATTTATCTGGTTGATTTATAAAAATCTTCACTTCTAAAGTAACACTGTGTCTTTGATTCTGCTGTCTGCAGGCCTCACCTGTCTCCCAGGAACATAGCTGAGATCCAGGAAGTAAGGAAAACCAAAAAAAGAACTTTGAGCACTCAACATAGATGTTACAAAGTCCATGTACTATGTACTGAAGCCAGTGTGTGTTACATGGAGGTGACGTACACTGAAAGGCTCAGTTGCATGATTTCCAGTGACAGCCAAGCAATTGTGATAGCTAACTTTAAGCACTTTCTGTGTATTGAGTAGTCAACTAAGTGCTTTCCATGACTTACTCGAGACATCCTTAAAACAACGTAGGGGTAGTTGCCATTGTCCCTGTTCTGAGAGAGAGGAATCTCAGAAGGTAATCGTAGTGACAGAGCCAGGGTAGAAACACAATCAGTAATTCACAGTTAAGGATTTTGACTAAATCTGTCTGCTTTGGCCTAAGGAGTTAGTTTAAATGTTTGATGCTAGTGGATTAGGTCTTTTTGTTCTTGTACTAAGATGTTACTTTCAATCTTTAGTTTTACTTCAAAATCTTTGTATGAGTGTGGGTCCTAGAATCTCCTTTTCTGGCAGGTAGTTAATTTGTATCCACACTAAAATGTTGGGGAGAATTCCTAATTCTTAAGAGGATGGTGAGTTGCAAGGAGAGGGTCTGCTGTTTTGTTTTTTACATATTCATTGTTTTCATTTGGGAGGTTGAGAGCATTAAGGAAAATGGAAAGTACTTCAGCTACAATGCCAACAAAGGGCCGGGCATTGGTGGCTTACACCTGTAATGCCAGCTACTCAGGAGGCAGAGATCAGTAGGATTGTGGTTAAAAGCCAGCCCCAGGCAAGTAATTCTGGAGACCCTATCTTGAAAAAAAAAACCCATCACAAAAAAGGGCTGGGGGGGATGGCTCCAGTGGTAGAATGCCTGCCTAGCAAGAGTGAGGTCCTGAGTTCAAACCCTAATGCCACAAAGGAAGATAGTGTGTGTTCCCAAGTATTTCTGGCCGGTGGATTTCCTTCTGGTGTGACTTTTCGAAACCAGCCTCTTAAAAAATGAAATCTCCAAGATCTTTGTCAGAAATCACCAAGATCATTGCTTCAGAATTAAGTGCTGGGCTTCACTAACTGTGTTGTTTTTCCATCCTAAATTATAAAAGTTGTTGAAAGAATAAGAACTTGATAGAATTTCTCATATAACAGGAATAGGAGACAATATAGAACCAGCTTGTGTTTCTCACCTCAAAAATACTGGGATGGGGCTTATTTTAGGATTTTGGCACTTTTGAACAGGCCTGCAGCCTCCAAACCACAGGCCCTTTTTCCTAAGGGTGAGGGACAGGGTGGGCTTGGGAGGAAGCTGGGATTCAGTTTCCTGCAATCTCATTCCAGAACAGCTCCTATTAAGGATCTGTTTTTAAAAAAGTGGGACAGTGAGTTGATCTTGTTTGAATCTGCATTCTTTTATGACTGCATCTGCCATTGTCATTACAGAGGGCTCCCCAAAATGAAGGGTGAGTGTCATATTTCTGAACTATCATGGCAGTCTGATCCTCGGTATGCTCAAATCATCGCTCTCTTTCTGTCCTAAACGCTGCCTAGATAACCTGGGAGAACAAGCATGGCGTTTAGATGAAGGGGCTTCTATCTCTGTTTCCCTGTAGGCGGTTAAGTGCTCTATCTACAGAGTTTGAGTGACAGGGGAGTCCCGAGAGCCATGACCCCCAGCCCTCCTCCCCTGCCTGGTCTCTCTCCTTCCCTCCTAGATGTTGTTATGCAGGCTACAAACTTGTCAACCTCCCAAACAGTGTCTCTGCATATCACATATTTGGGTTTATATTTTTAAGTAAGTGGAAAATACCTCCTTTTATTGCTGACACTGAGTACTTCGGGAAGCTTTTGCATCATATTCCCAACTCCCTCTTGGTGCTGTTATTGAGTGCTAGTCTCTGGAGTGATCATTGCTCTGAAGCATTTATTAACCACCTGCTGTGTGCAAGGCACCCAGGCAATTCACAGCAACCGCTGGCAACAATCAAAGTTTTTGCTCTGGAAGCTGCAGTAGACTGCTTGCTTAGCAGGCTGGAGGTTCAATCCCCAGCGTTGAAGGGGGGAAAAAAAGGCACCAGCAGTTCAGATGAGATGGTAAGACACACGTATGAAAAGATAAAAACGTGGATATGTGGATGTCAAACCAGATGGGCAATAAATAGTATGGGTGTGAAGCAACAAAAAAGATGCCAGAGATGCCTCTGGCTTCCCAACAAGGAGTGTAAAGAACTCCGCAGAAAAGAATAAAAGTTTGCCGATGGACACAGGTGACCTGAATGTGTATTCGTACCATGGTCCTGGGTAGGACCGGGCAGACTGAGGAAGAGACAAGGTGACACATGCCTCTAAGTTAACTTGTTATTTCAAAATATAATCAAAGACAAGAAACCAAGAGAAATAATCTGTAGTATAGGTGACAGTAGGTTAAGAACCATCAAAATTGACCAAGTTGGCAGTTCACAGAAAATAAGACCAATTGGCATGCAGAAATCCCCGGCCTCACTAGTTCTGAACTTGGGTGTGCAAATGGCAGCACACACCATTATCTACCCACTAGGTGGAGAAAGTGGAAGTGTTACGCTGAGGAAAAGGGCGTTCCCTGCAGGTGTTAATGGCCTGGTCGCTGCCTCCCTAGGACAGGTTTGGCCGTGCTAGGTGACAGTGTTCATGTTTATTGTACCAGTAGTTTTAAGGAATCTGGGCTATAGAAATTGTCATATGTGAACAAATGACATAAAAGTATAAAATGTTCATTGTACCTAAGTAAGTGCAAAACACCATCTATAGGTACAAAGATGTTTGTGCAAGATTTATAACAAAAATTGTAAACAACGCAAAGAACTGAGCTAGAGTGAGACATACTCATAGCAGGGAATGATGAATCTGAGACATAGCTTCAAAAAGCACGCTTAAAGCCACCATGAGCCATGCTTTGAGGGGTAAATGTATACAGTACCTATACACAAACACATAGAGAAGGGGCTTTTGAAAAGCTTGGGAAGTTACACTTGGAAGTGGCAGGGGTGTTGAAAAAGACCTAATCACTTTTGGGATGAGCAGTACTTAGGGGGCGGTACCGCTCTAGCCGTGCCTCCAGCCCTTTTTGCTTTAGCTGTGTTCCAGAAAGGGTCTCCAAGAATCCTACAGGCGTGCACCACCATGCCTGATCCTTTGTTGAGATGAGTCTCACTTTTTGCCCAGGCTAGTCTCAAAGCACAGTCCTTTCAGTCTCTACCTCCCTAGTAGTTGGGATGAGCTACTATGTCCCTGATCTAAAAATGCAACTTTTAACTACATCAGACTTTAAAGTAGCTACACTGAAGTATATAGTAGCTCAGCTTTGTGAGTAAAGACAGGAGAGATGTTAAGTTTAATGAGTGACTTCCATTTGACAAGTGATGCTACTTACTATGGATGTTTGGTGCACTTGGTACTAGGACATCAGTGTCTGAAGTGCTTACAGTGCATATTCTGTGAGTGCTTGTTACCTGAGAGCTTTGGTGTATGTTGTTCTAAAACCAGGTTGTTGGTGTTGGCTCGGGTGTGGCTCAGTGGTAGAGCACTTGCCTAGTATGCATGAGCCCTGGGTTCAATCCTGGCACAGCAAATCAATAAATTAAAATGGAGATAGGGCTAGAGGTAAGGCTCAAGTGGTAGAGCATTTGCCCAACAAGCAGTTACTAGCAAACACTCCACAGCATCCCCCGAGGTGATTCCTGGGCCCCTCACATCCTCAGCTGGGATTCCTGCCTTTCTGTGGAGACTGACATTTCTACAGTGCAAAGGGAAAGGCTGCTAATTGCCAATCAGGATCCAAGCCAGGGAGCACAGTGTAGAATCATGTAAGCATCTGGGGATTCCCAGCATGCTGGTCCCTGCCTGGATTCTGCACCATGGTGCCAGTGCTGTCTGTCCTCCTCTCTACCCTGTGCTCACCCAGGGAGCTCTCCATGCTCTAGCTGGTAGTGAATTGGGACAGAGCACATTAACTGTTCAGGCGAAAGACACAGCTGGACTTGGAAATGCTTTAGAAGTGTATTCCCCAAATACCACACAATGAAAATTTGCCCAGTGACACGAAAAGGTGACTGCCTTTTTCTTTTCTCCATGTGTCCATTCATTCAGCAAGTATCTTGTGGAGCCTGCTGTGTGTCAGGCCCAGGGTCCCACATAAGGAATACAAAACGGAATAAGGCACGACCCCTGCCTATCTCAGCTTTGTGGTGAGTGGAGGTTTGGGGAGAGAGGAGGCAGGAACCCAATCATAGTGTGTCTTTTTAAGTCTGTAAGAAAAACGAGGGCAGCAGCTGGATGAATCAACAGCACAAGGGAGGATGTCCCAGAGGAGGTGACAGGTGAGGTGAATCTCAAAGAGGAGTGATTAGAGCTATATTATTGTCCTTGGTGTTTAGTACAGGAATGCTGAAAATGAGGACAGAAGTACTCTGCCTGGTTTCCAAAGCTGCTTTAGAATAAACCCTTTTTATAATTTTTCTTTCCTTTTTTTTTTTTTTTGGTAGTACTGGGATTTGAACTCAGGACTACACACTTGCTAAACAGGCAAATGCTACCACTTGAGCTGTACCTCCAACCCCCCTCCTCCTTTTTTTTTTTTTTTTAAAGAATCAACCCTTTATGGAAAAATTTGCCCATCTGTATCCTGTAAGGTTTTTGGTAGAAGTGGGATTTGAACTCAATGCTTCACACTTGCAAGGCAGGCACTCTACCACTTGAGCCACACGTCCAGTCCATTTTGCTATGGTTTTCTTGGAGAGGGAGTTTCACAAACTATTTGCCTGGACTGGCCTTGAACTGCATTCCTTCCAGTCTTAGACCCCACAGTAACTAAGAGTATAGGTGCTCAGCTTGTATCCTATAAGTTTGAAACATTAGGTGGAACCGTACAGCAAGCAGACTGGAAACTTATCTTTGAAGGCTTCAACAAACATCCAGTGTGAGTTGTCTGCTTCCAGTTTCTTTCCCCATCTCGGGTCTAGTTTTTACCATCAGCTTCATGGCTTCTCCTTTGAACACCGATCTCTCGTGGAAAAAAGTCCTCGTTGCTGAGGAAAAGACTTAACAGCACATGTGCTGCCTGAATCTCTTCCTTTGGCTCTTGAAATTGGTTTCTGTTGATGGGTTTGGAAAGAGTCAACTTTTCTTGGTTTCTCTTTAGATGTTACTGTGAATAAGCTGGAACTGTAATTACTCATACTTAGAAAATAACATTCTTGCATCCAGGTTCTTAGTTTCAGCAAACTATGAAGTGTCATTGAAAAACAATGTGATTTTTTTATGTCCCGGGGTGTTATGAATGTCACTTGGTTGTAGTGACTCTTCTGTTAAATACATGCTTACTAAAATGCATAATGGTGCTGGGCATGGTGGTGCACACCTTGATCTCAGCACCCAGGAGGCTGAGGCAGGAGGATATAAAGTTCAAGACCAGCCTGGGAGAGAGAGAGAGAGAGAGATCCTGCCTCAAAACAAAAACCAAAATGATGTATGATGAATCTAAAAGATGGAGTTTAATTTTTTTTTATTTGTAACTTTGTTGTTGTTGTTTGCTATAGTGGGGTTTGAACTCAGGGCCTCTTGCTTGCTAGACAGGCGCTCTGCCATTTGAGCCACTCCACCAGCCCTTTGTTTTTGTTATTCTTTTGGATAGGGTCTCGTTTTTGCCCAGGGCCAGCCTAGGACACAGCCCTCCTACCTGTGCTTCCTCCATTGCTGGAGTCACAGGTGCATGCCACCACACCCAGCTTGTTGGTTGAGATGGGAGTCTTTCAAACTTTTTTGTCGAGGCTCACCTCAAACTTTGATCCTCCTCATCTCCACCTCCTACCAAGTAGGTGTGCACTGTTGTGTCATTATTCCAGGGGACGAGAGGCTCCTGCTTGGAGACCTAAACCAGTCTCCTCAGCTGATTCCTTGTCCCCTTAATCAGAGTAGCTTCCAACTCCACCCTCCAAAGATTTGTCACCATGGAGAAACTGGGTTTGGGCTCTGGTTTGTTGTGATGGCACTGGGGATTGAACCCACGGCCTCAGCATGCTAGGCAAGCATGCTTCTACTGCGTCATATGCCCCTAGCCATGGAGACCGTATTTTAAAATGGAAAGATCCAGAGGTAAAGACAGTTACAATGCTAATAATAGCCCAGCTGTTGAAAGAAATGTACTCCTGCCTGAGGTGACAGAATGAGAAGCGCAGTGCTCCTTGGAGGACACCCGTCCTGGTGTGCTGGTGGTACAATGAAGTCACTTTCCTAGACTCACCTATCACAGGAAGACAAAAGCTGGCAGGGCCTTCAAGAGTAGTGCACACTGGGATGCTAAAGGAAAGAAAAACTGGAAGTACTCTTGGTTACTCACAGTTGTCCTAGACCCGGGCCTCCGACGCCAGCCCTTGCCCCACACACACTTCCCGTGTCGCTCTCCAGGACTTTTCTCATGCTTTCTTTCTGTTTGTTCAGGTATTTCCGGGAAAAGCCAGCTTCTGTTTGCACTGGTATTCACAACTCGCTACCTGGATCTTTTTACTTCATTTATTTCATTGTATAACACGTCTATGAAGGTATGGTATGGTATCTGACAGAGTGCATTTTATCCATAATGCACAGACCTGTGGGACATTGTTCCTTTATGTCATCTGTGTCTTGGTTAAAAATCATATCTAAAGACGCTGGCTTTGTTTTGTTTTGGTTTGTTTGGTTGTTTGTTTGTGGTATTGGGGTTTGACTCAGGGCCTCACGCTCACTAGGCAGGCGCTCTGCCACTTGAGCCACTCCGCCAGGCCTAAATGTGTTGTTCCTGTCTTTAAAACTTTCGCCACCTTGACAGCCTTGTATATGTGACTGCGAATAATTGTTTTGTTCCAAAACAGCATCTGTTTAATTGGAGCCCTGGGCCCTAGAGGCTTTAAAATGTAAGTTCCTCAAGCATGAGGAAGCTTCCAAAGCTCTTGCTAGCCCTGCCTGCTCTGTTGTCAAGCAGTGGGAATTACTGATTGCCCCAAGAAGTCAGAACACAAGCAGGAGTCCAGCTAGGAGAACTTACTGGTCACAGCGTCTCGTGTCACCACCCTGTGAGGCACCGTGTGGAGGCTGCTGCTTGTTTGCTTCTCTCCACTGAGTCCATTTTTCTTAGACTTCTGCTGCACTTAAACAGCACCTGTACCAAAAATTACTTTTTTATACATAGATATTGCTGCTGCTGCTGCTGGTGGTACTGGGATTTGAACTCAGAGGTTTACACTTGCTAGGCAGGCATTCTACACAGCCCTTTTTGGAGATAGTCTGGTTATTTTGCAGATAGATTATTGGTTTTGCCTAGGCTGGCCTGGACCGTAATCTGTCTATTTTATGCTTTCTGCCATAGCTGGGATGAGATGTGTGTGCCACCACACACAGCTTTTTCCATTGAGATGGGGGTCTCAATAACTTTTGCCCAAGTTGGCCTGAACTGTGATCCTCCCAGTCTCAGCCTCCCAAGTAGCTAGGATTGCAAGTGTAAGCCACTGGCACCAGGCTCAGAAGCATTTTTATGAGCAGAGATTAAAGTAGATAAAGCAGTATTTGGATCTGTTGTCTTTACCAAATAGCAAATTTGAGCCAGGCACTGGTGTCCATGCCTGCAATCCTACCTACTTACGAGGCTGACATGGGAGGATCGTGGTTCAAAGGCAGCCCGGCAAACAGTTTGCAAGACCCCATCTCAAACATAACCGGAGCAAAAATGAACTGGAGGCATGCCTTAGCTCTAGAGTGCCTACTTTCTAAGGGTGAAGCTCTGAGTTCAAACTCTGGTCTCACCAAAAAGAAAAAAAATTGCAGTCACCTGTCATGGCTCCATTATTTATTACCAAGTGATAGGAGTCTAATTACTTGTCTTCAAAATGACTAGGTTTCTGCTCGTTGTCTAGCCAGTTTAAACTGCAGGCAATAGAGGTGTATGAGCCAAAGCCCCCCACTTCAGGCAGAAATCCTGCTTGCGTGGTGGGAGGTTATTTTTTATTCGGATTTTTTGGTTTGTTTTGGCAGTACTAGTGTTTGAACTTGGGGCCTTGTATTTCCTAGGTAAACACTCTACCAACACTTTGTGCTGTGGTCTGTTTTGCAGGTAGGGCCTCACACTTTTTGCCCCCTACCATCCTTCTCCTACCTCTGCCTTCTGCCTAGCTTGGATTATAGACATATACCACTATGCCCAGCTTGTTTTGTGACATGGGATCTTGCTAACTTTTTTGTTGGGGTTGGCCTCAAACCATGATCCTCTGATTTCCCCATTGCCCATGTAGCTGGGATTACAGACATATGCCACCACGCCCACCTGCTTGGTTGTGGTTTCTAAGCATCATGTCCTGAAAGTCGGTGGAGTGAGAGCCAAGCTATATGTACTTGCCTTTAACTGCTGTGTGCTGGCGACAGGAGAGCTCTTCTTTCCCAGCAGCTGCTGAGGCCCGATAGGCTAAAGCTCCATGGGCACAGGCCACCTGGTGTGGCCTCTAGCTGCCTTGAGCCTGGCTGGATGTGTCCCCAGGGAGAGACATGCAGGCGTACATGTATGTGTGCTTTGTTTCCGCATGTGTTTGATGAGGACCCACAATTCAATGTCTTGTTGACTTGTTGACTATGTAACCTCATGATGAGCTATCCAGACTGTTTAGTTTCTTTGTGGTTTGTTTTTTTTTTTTTAAACATATGAGGGCTTGATAATTGCCCTCATCTACCTATTAAGTCATTTGCCCAGATGTTTTCCTAATTAAGTTTCTTGAGTTGTGCTTCCCAAGGAGAAGCGATCCCAGGCAGTGTGGTCTCTATAAGCCTGTTTGATTCTTGGAACTAAATTTCTGTAATTTAAAGATTGATGTAATTTCAGAACACCAGCCTTTGCCTTGGGGTCACTGACCTTTGGGAGATGGAAGAACACATAACTTAATCGCCAGTCCTGGAGCAGCTGTGCCGTGGTGTGCACAACATTGCTCCCTTCCTTTGAGACAGCAGTTACAAATTGTACTGACTTCCCATTTTGCTTTTGTTGTCATAACCAGACAAAATTTCATAGCTACGCTGTGAATGCTCAGTATTAAAGTAACACAATTTAAGTTAAAAAAAAAAAAATGGCAAGTTTCACATAAATTATAATTGTCTATGTTACCCTCATAAAACGCTAGTGAGGAATGGCATCAAAAAATAGCCTCATGCTAGAAGGAAGTCCACTGGTTTTAAACAGCATTTACCTTTGCATTTTTTTTCCTTAAACTGCTGTGTAATAGTTTTAAGATGAGAGTAAAAATATATTTCTTTGGCAGTTTCTTACAAAGTTAAACTTACACTTAGGCATCTGACCCAGGAAACACTGTTCTGGGTATAAATAACCCAAGAGAAACAAAAACTTAGATTCACACAAAAGCTGTAACAAATGTTCATAGCAGCTTAACCCCCATTCCCCCAAACTGGATTTGGCTCACCTGTTCTTTAACTAGGAAAAGGGTATTCAGAAGCCAGTGTGCAACAATGGCCCACAGCTCAGCAGTGAGGAAGAACAAGTTCTTAATAACCACTGTAGGTTTGGCTGCCTCTGATACACAAAGCAACATGTGAGCATGAAGCAGTGGAGCACGGCTGTATTTATGTGGCAGTCTGGGAAGGCAGAACTGGGGACAGAGAACATATCTTTGATGGCCAGAGGTTGGGGAGGAGCGGGACGGCTGACCTCAAAGAAGCAGCATGGTGGGATTGGAGGAGAAGGGCAGAACTGTTTTGTGTCCTAATTGTGGTGGTAGTTGTATGACTTATAGAACTGCACACACACAAAAGTGAATTTTACTATGTTCAAATGTTAAAATATAAAAAAAAAAGCTAAATAGGTAATATAGAAGCTGAGGCAGTTAGGAATCATTATGATGTATCAATAACTTGGTGATTTTCTTTGTTTTAGCTCATCTACATTGCCTGTTCCTACGCCACAGTGTACCTGATCTACATGAAATTTAAGGCAACCTATGACGGAAATCACGACACCTTCCGAGTGGAGTTTCTGGTGGTTCCTGTGGGAGGCCTCTCGTTTCTGGTCAATCATGATTTCTCTCCTCTTGAGGTTAGTTAAGAGGTTATGTAGTGGTCCTGTGTGATTCATAGGTAAACAGACCTGTTTGCAGATAATGTGGATTTTTGTGGGGAGCTTGGGGTTTTTTTCGTTTTTCGCTTTGCTTTCTGCAGTGCTGAGGATTGAACACAAGGTCTTGAACATGCTAGGCAAGACTGTGCCACTGAGCTCCATCCACAGCCCTGTATTTTATTATCTTGCCTTCTGTGCTACCTGGCACAGCCCTGCCTGTCCTGATATCTAAAGAATGGGATCACTCCACTCTGGCCAGCCTTCATTTCCTCTCCATGTACAGCTGTCACATCGAAGTGTGTGGTATGTCTCCTAAGCAGCACTGCTGCCCTCCTCACTTTAGAGAAGAGTGGTGCAGGTGCCCCTGGCCTTTGCAGGGAGGTGACCTCCTCCTCCATGCCTTTTCCTTCTCCAGGGAAGAGCTGCTGCTTCCCACCTGGGTTTAAATTTCTGTGCTGCTCTTGGTTGTTGGATGGCTGCTACAGGTGCCTGGGATACTTTCAAGTCCTTCTGTTGTCAGCAGGAATAAAGTGCCACATTGGGCACAGAGTTTGAATAACTATAAGTCAATTTCTGACCTTTTACTTAACCACACCAAAAAGCCTAAATAATAAGAAAATTACAGACACTCTTCAACTATGATGGGGTTCTGGTCCAGTTAAACCCATCATAACGCTTGTAATCCCAGCTACTCAGGAGGATTGAGGTTTGAAGCCATCTCCAGGCAAATAGTTCTCAAGACCCCATCTCGAAAAAACCCATGACAAAACAGGGCTGATGGAGTAGCTCAAAGTGTAGGCCCTGAGTTCAAGCCCCAGTACCGCATACATACACAAATTTAAAGTGTGGTTTCTACTGAATGTGTATTGCTTCCGTGCTATTGGCACATCAGAAATTGTAAGTAAAGACCATCTATGGAAAAGAGATCAGTTAGTGAAGAAAAAAAACAGAGGGAGTGGGAGAGACCCCATTACCCTTGTTGTCAGCCCCAGTAGAAAGCAGGACTGACTCCAGTGGAGTGGGACAGGCTTTTCCAGGAGGAACACCACACGTGCAGACCGAAAGATTGTGTAGGAAGGAATAAGGTATAGATGTGGTAATGAACATTCCGAGAAGTAAGGTGTCCAGGTTGCCATGGGCAGGGCTCTGCCTCTTAAATGTTGTGGAGCTACCACAATGCAGTTGCCAAGCTGCTGGGTTTGGGGTTGAGATGCCCACACCCCAGCCTCCCAACCCTCGTTCAGCTGTCCACCGTAAAGCAAAGGTCTTTTCCCCAGATCCGGACCCAATGTTTGCCTTCCTCTCCCAGATCCTCTGGACCTTCTCCATCTACCTTGAATCGGTGGCCATCCTTCCCCAGCTCTTCATGATCAGCAAGACTGGGGAGGCTGAGACCATCACCACTCACTACCTGTTCTTCCTGGGCCTCTACCGGGCTTTGTACCTCGTCAACTGGATCTGGCGCTTCTACTTCGAGGGCTTCTTTGACCTCATTGCCGTGGTGGCTGGTGTGGTCCAGACCATTCTCTACTGCGACTTCTTTTACTTGTACATTACAAAAGGTATGTTGGGTCTGTGCTGGAGGTTCCCACAGTCACATGCTCTGTTAGGTGCCTTCCTGCCTAGCTCCCTAGCCCCACACTTGCCAATCTCATACAGTCCCCAGAAAGAACTGGCTTCAGTAAAACTATTTTTGCCATGCTGGGGATCAAACCCAGGACCTTGCATATTTATACATATGCAAATTGTGCACAAAGTGGTAGGGAATTAAGCCTAACCACAAATCCAGTAAAATTCCCAATGGACCTACTCAGTAAAAGAACATGAATATCTCTTAAATATCCATTATATCTTAATAGGGGACTGTTTATGACTTCCTCTTTGTTATGCAAAGCAGCCCTTGGCAGGCTGAGGCAGGGTTTCAAGTTTGAGACCAGCCTAGGCTATCAGTAAGCCCCTGTGTCAAAAAAGAACAGCTGTGAATTTGGTGGCGCTATCAGTGGGATTTGTTTTTGTGTTTTTCATGCCATTGCTTATTTGCTTGTATTGGGTAGGATCGTGTGTGTGGCAGGCAGTAGGAATAGGGGGAAGGAAGCTAGCTGAGTTTGACAATATGAGTAACCTTTTGTTTCTCTCTCCTCTTTGGAATTCTAGTACTGAAGGGAAAGAAGCTGAGTTTGCCAGCGTAAGTGCCAAAGACCATCAGCAGCCTCTGTCCTTCAGGGTGCTCGGACAGAATTCTTACACAGCAAAGGCTTGACATGCGGAGAACCAGAAACTTAGCTCTTTTCGTTGCAGACCATCATCAGTGGCTCTGTGAGGACACAGAGGACAGGAGCCAGAGGTTTCTGTTTAATGCATCTTGCCTTATCTTTTTTTATTACTATGTACAAAGATTTTTTTACACAAAGAAACTTAATGCTGTATTAATAAATTCAGTGTGTAGCTCAATTGGGAGAGTTCCAAAAGTGATGGTTTTGTGACGAATAAGTGCAAGCTTTTTTTATTTTAAAAATTTCATTGAAATTGTTGATTCTTTGTGTCTGCAATGAAATTGTACTTCTTGACAGTCGATAGATTATATACTCCCAACATCTGTCAAATTTGCATTCCACTATATTTATTTTTTGCCAAAAGATGAGTTATATTTGTTTGAAATCTGAGACACTATGTTCAAATTGACCTCTGTCCAAATTTATCCCCACCTGCCATGGAACTCCTTCCTTGGATGTCACAACACTACAGTTAAGTTTGGTGAGGATGGCTTGCAGCTCTTAAAGTTTTCATTTCCAAAATTTTAAGGTTCTGAACGTAAGTGGAATATCAGTTAATGCCACCACAGGTGCCTGCCCTCCTCCCCTGCCTACAGCACCAGCCTGAGACTCCAAGGGTGCGGAGGAATCCACAGGCAGGGTCCTGGGCTGCTGGCCCTGAGTATGGACGGGGGACCGCAGTGATCACTCTGGATCTAGGACTCTGCTCTTCTAAGGAATGGAACACTGACACTTGTCTACTGCTTACATTTACACATCCAAAGCTCCTGCAACCATGTCTCTGCTCAGATTCCAGTAGTTTTCCTGTCACCCCTGAGTGACAACATGATTTCCAGTGGTTTTAATTGGCAGCAGTTACCATTCCTTATCTTCTTCCTTTCTTTTGTTTTGTTTTTTACTGAGCTTTTGCATGACTTATCTTGTGTTACCATCCTAAATAAACATTTTATTAAACAGAGTAAGTTGTCTTTTCATGAATTAAGTTTGAACATCCTAGGTTTGGATAACTTTGTGTTTAGCTGCAAAAGCTCCATAGGACTGAGCACATAAAAAGTTCACTTAAAAGCCTGTAAAACTTTCTGTATTTTGTGAAAATACTAGACTTTTTCCTCCTGATTTTGCTATCATATTGATCTGCTGATTTTTTTTTTGAGTTATGCAGAAGTATGACTTTTTATGTGATACACCATGAGAAGTAAGTGTTCAGTGGCATCAGTGCTTACGAGGATGTAGTAGTAGTTTTGCTTCCTGTATTAAAATGTATTATGGATGACTTGTATTTTCATTTGGTGTGGCTCGTGACATCTGTCTAAACTGGCAGTATAACTGTATAGCTCAGCCTCTCTTGCTGCCTCCCTTACTTCATTTTCCCCTCATCTCATGGTTTTGCTTTGTGTTTCAATTGAAGTCCATCCCCACCCCACCCCCAGCATCCTAGTCTTGGTTTAGTTTCTGTGGTCTGAGAGTGTTGGGGTAGGGTGGGAAGTCCAGATGCAGACTTGGGGGTTGGTAGGAGGGGGCTCATACCTGTCCTTGCCCGTGTACGTCAGCCACAAACTGGGATCACTCTCAGAGCACAATATACAGAACAAGAACCAGCAGGTCAGCCAGGCTCTGAGTGGTTCACACCTGTAATCCTAGCTACTTGGGAGGCTGAGGTCAGGAGGATTGCAGTTTGAGGCCAGCCCAGGCAAATAGTTCATGAGACCCCATCTCATGCACAACCAGCACAAAATGGACTGGAGGTGTGACTCAAGCGATAGAGCACCTCTTTAGCAAGTGTGGCGTCCTGAGTTTAAACCCCAGTCACCAAAAAAAAAAGGATCAGGTCAGAGCCTTCTGTAGTCATTGTCCCAAGCGAGAATAACATCAGCTGTAACACTTCCACCTGTTTGTGGTCAACCAGGATGACATCTGGAGTGACTACACAGCGTCATCATGTGAGACAGATAGGAAGCACTGTTGCATAGTTTCGCTTGCTGATGAAAGGTGACCAAACAGTTGACACTTCTCATTGAGTGTGTGTGCGTGTGTGTGTGGTGCTGGGGATCTAACCCAGAGCCTCACACGTGCTGGCTAAGTGCCTTCCCACTGAGCTATGTCCCCAGCTCATGCCTGACTGTGGGCTAGGCACATGGCTCAGGTGGTAGAGCACCTGCCTAGTCAATATGTAAATGAGAAGAAATAAGCAATAGTCACAGATTTGCCCTGTGACAGCTGTAAAAGCAGCTGGCTATTGGTGACTCATGGTCCAGATTGCCAAACCCATTCCTGCCCAGAAACAAGACATTTGAGTGAAGTCCCTCTGCCTCACACTGGTCCAGGTAGGAACAGGTAGCGGTCACAGACCCTCGTGGGGACCCAAAGTAAGAAAAGCCCAAGCTTTGGGCCCAGGCTTCTTGTTAAAGCCCAGCTGCCACACATGTGGGTCCCTGGCCTGCAATTTCACAAGCCTTGTGTCACTTACACAGAGAGACTCCTGCTGCTGGATTTCTGTGAGGCTTAAATGAGCCTGTGTGCAATTCATACTGCAGACCTGAAACATAGCAATCGTTTCTCATTCTTAGATGAATGCCTGAGACATGGTACTGGCAGGAGCCTCTTGGGCTCAGGTGATGACACTGGCCAGTTTTGCAAGGTTCAGATGTCTTGTCAGGAATGCTTGCATAGAAACTGACCATGTGTCAGGCTTGAGGAATGATGGTGTTGCACTGGGGCTCCCGGTAGGTTTTTCTGTGTGCTTTTGCCCTCTCGTGGTCGGGTGTGGAATTTTCATGGAACCTGAGCTCTTGTCTAGAACCTGCCCCTCCCAGGTGTCTGGGTTAACCTTTGTAGTGTGGAGTCTTTGCAGGTGTTGCTCCAGATTTTAAATCATTCCCATTTCTATCCCTGGATAGTTAATTTTAGAAATCGTTATTTTTCTTTTTTTGGAAATCATCTTTAACATCTTTTAGGGGTTTTTTGGGGGGTGGGGCTGAGGTTTGAACTCAGGCTTCATGTTTGCAAAGCAGGCTATTGCTTGAGCCACACTTCTAATCCTTTTGTTTGTGGGTTTTTTTCAAGTTCTAATTTAAAATAGATATTTTTGATAACAGGAAATTTAAGAACCTGTGTCAAAGGAGAATGAATAGCTTTGTGTGAGCTATCCTAGAATGATACACTGTTTTAAAGTAGGTCCGTCTCAGCCAATGAAATGTTATAAGGAAATGGCAGAATGTACTTGCCGAGATTACAAGTATGCAAATATTTCTTTTCACCTGTTTCCCAAAAGGTATCTTTTTGAAGTTAGTTTTGTAGGTGACTGTTACTGCTTGGTCATTAACTTCACAATAGCCTCTTTACCATCTCTTTTTCCTTCTTTATTTCATTATTTGGAGACAACATTTCACTTAGTTGTTCAGGCTGGTCTTGAACTCCTGGGCTCAAGTGATCCTCCTGCCTCAGCCTCCCAGGTAGCTGGGACTACAGGTATATGCCACCAGCCTGGCTTCCTCTTTACCTTTGAGTTACCAACTGAATATCCACTTTAGAGATGAGGACACAGGCTTGGCTGAGATGAAGTACCTTGTGTAAAGACACACTGACTTGCCAAATCTTAGCGGTCTTTCAAGCACTGGGGTAACCTGTGCTTAAAAGCTGCTTTTGCTGAGGACACTTACTCCTTACTTGGGCCCATGAATTAACTGAAATCAAGAAGAATCCTTGACATGCCTGCCACCATTTTGTACCTGTGTCCTTTGCTCTGAGCCATTCTCTCCTGGAATAGTCATCTTGGAATCCAGGAAGGACCAGATGGGAGACAAATCCCCATGCCAGGCAACAATGACTCTTACAGTGACAAGGCCCCATATGACCAATCCTGAGACAATGGGCCACCAGACCACCTGTGACCACCTCTGCCCACCTGACACTCCTGTGACTGGGGCTGTTTAATAATGATCCACGCCTCCCCTCCCCCAATTCTTCCTTCTATTTAAACCTAAAGCAAGCATGGAAGATGGGTTGAAATGCTACCTCTCCTCTTCCTGGGGCTTCCTGTGCTGTGTAATAAATAAACTTCCCTTCTCTGCCCTTCACTGATGGGATTTGTCTTGTTGGGGTGAGTGCCCGGATCTGACCTGTGAACCCAGGAGTTTGGGCCTGGGATCTAAAAACAACCTGTAATCCCAGCTCAAGTCTCATCCCTAGGCAGCAGGTGTGTTAAGATTAGTCTGTGACTGGACTGTCTAGCCTGAGCTGTGTAAACATGGCAGGGGCCTAGTTAATACTGTCTGCTTGCTGCAGGAGTTGTGGCTCAAGTGGTAGTCTACCTAGCAAGCATGAAGTGGTGAGTTCAAACCTTACTGCCACCAAAAAAAATACTGTCTGCTTGATAATCATCAGAGGATCAGGACTGAGCAAAATGCTTGATGGGCAGGACGGGAGCAGAAGGTCCTATGTAAAAGGCTCTGATTTTAAAAGGAGCAAGGTTGCTACCTGTCGAAACAGGCTGAAATTGTGTGTAAGTGAAGTTTAAGTTAGAAGAAAGCTTAAGTTCTGCTGGGTGTGTAGGAAAAAAAGCATCACCAGATGGTAGGTGTCCTCCATTTTCAGAATTTTCACCAAGCCTGATGAAATACCTTATCTAACATATCTACCCACAGGTCTTTCAATTTGACATGTTTCCTGGGGCTGTGGTCTGTCTTCCCTCTTCTCTACCCCAAGATCTGCCATTGCACTGCAGATCTTGATCCTTGAGATTGGACTGATCCAATCTCAGTCCCTCCACCTACTTTTTTCATTTTGGGCAGTACTGGGGTTTGAACTCAGGGCCTCACACTTGCTAGGCAGGCTCTTTGCCACTACCACTTAAGCCACTCTGCCAGCCCTTTTTCGTGTCGGGTATTTTTGAGATAAGGTTTCTCAAACTATTTGCCTGGGCTGGCTCCACACCTTGATCCTCATAATCTCTGCCTCCAGAGTAGTTAGGATTACAGGCACAAGCACTGGCACCTGGCCCTCCACCCACTCTTGACATTTGTTTAATAAGATCATCCATTCAGCAAGCATTTACAAAGTGCTCAGGTGTGTTCTATTTTGTGGGAAGAAGGGTAGTACTGCGGTTTGAACCCAGGGTTTGTGATTGCTAGGGAGCCACTCTATCACTTGAACCCATTGTGCTGTGGTTATTTTGGAGATAAGAGTCTTGCTTTTTGCATAGGCCAGCCTGGACCATGATCCTCCCATTTTAGGCTTCTGGCGGTAGCTGGGACGATAAGCACATACCACAGTGCCCAGCTGTTCGATGAGATGGGGTCTCTCCAACTTTCCGCACAGCTGGCCTCAAACTGCTGTCCTCCTGATCTCAGCTTTCCAAATAGGTAGGATTAGCAGTGTGAGCCACCAGCACCCACTTGTTCAACCATGAACAAGATGGTCATGAAACTTACCAATGTCCCATGTGTAATGTTGAAGATAAGGACTGAGACCACATCTCATGCCTGACTCCCCATCTAACCTTATCTGACCCTTGTCTTCCACAACAGTCAAGTGAAGTACATTTTTTTTCCTTACCATGAATTTGATGATCGCCAAAAGGGCTTGACAGCAGCTACTCTGTTACCGAACAGTGTGCCAGTTGTGTAATATGTAGGAACTGTATTGGCTATGCTAATCAGTAACAAGAACAGCCCCAGGAAATGATCTTCATTCTTGAGATTTGCAGAACTGAAAAACATCCCATGAGTAGGTGATTAGGATCAGACATGCACCACCCGCCCACTCAATGTGAGGAGTGCCCACTAGTCTGGGAACACCCAGCAACTACCTCCATATAGCCACTCTTAAACCAGCTTCTTCAAAAGATGGGCTTTGTGACAAGAGTCCTCCATCTTCTCCAACATTCAGCTTTATTAATAAAGTTGTCTTCTTTGCCTCAACACCTTTTATCTCTACTTAACTGGTCTGCAACAATGTCAGGGTATTGAGGGGGTGGGGGGGAGAGGGAGGGGATAGCGTGGGTGGTAAGGGAGGGGGTCGGGGCAAGGGGAGAAACGACCCAAGTCTTGTATGCACATATGAATAATAAAACAATAAAAAAAGTCAGGGAATAATACTTGCAATAAAAAAAACCAAAGTAGCCAGGCATTGGTGGCTCACGCCTGTAATCCCAGCTACTTGAGAGGCTGAGATTAGGAGGATCATAGTTCAAGGCCAGCCCAGGCAAATAGTTTATGAGACTCCCCCCATCTCCAAAATAACCAGAGCAAAATGGACTGGATGTGTGACGAAGCAGTACAGTGCCTACTTTGCAAGAGTAAAGCCCTGAGTTCAAACTCCAGCCCCACAAAAAAAAGGAAAGAAAAGGAAAAAAGGAGAAAAGAAAACCAAAGGAGGGTAAGGAACAGAAACTGAAGGCTGTGCTGTTTTAGATAAAGTGGTCACACACAGAAGGCATCTTTGAGACAGAAGCCGTAGAGCTGAGCCCTGAATGGATACAGAATTACTGTACCTGCAGGGGGCTGGGCATAGTGGGGCACACCTGTAATCCCTCAGAAGGCAGAGATAGGCAGGATCACAGACCACCCCTGACAAAAAGTTAGCAATGCCTCATGTCAATCAGTAAGTTGAGCATGGGGGTTCACACCTGTGATCCCAACTAGGAGGGAGGCCATAAGTAGGATCATGGTACTGAGGCCAGCCCTGGATAAAAACAGGAGACCCTATCTGAAAAAAATAAAACAAAAAGCAAACAAACAAAAGGGCTGGGGGTGTGGCTCAAAAGTAGAGCATCTGCCTAGCAAATGCGAAGTCCTGAGTTCAAACTCCAGTACTGCAAAAAAAAAAAAAAAAAAAAGGAAAGAAAAGAGACTGCAGGAGTGGTATCCCTGGAATAGGAAACAGGGAACGTAAAACTCCTGACATGAAAATGAGCTTGATATATTTGGGGGAGAGTGACAGCAGGCAGTGGAGGGAGCAAGTAGTAATTCTAACCCAGGGAGACAAACGCAGAATATAGGATTTAAATGTGTGACTACCAAGGACAGTTCTCGGACAGGAGTTGAGAGTGTATTTTATGCCCAAAAGCAGCCTTACAAGGTCCTAAATGGAGATCCAGGACAGGTCTGCTGGTTCAACAGGATTACCTGCTATAAGGCAGATCAGAAAAAGCATTGTGGAGACCACCTGGGATCTTTTCAGGTGGCTCAGAAGAGGGTGCTCGGCACTGGAGGTGCTGAAAAGAAATCAGACTCTACCTCGCCAGCTGCCAGGCGGAGTTTCAGGCCCTGAACTCCAGGAGTGCAGGACTCCTACAGCGGGAACCATACAGACGGCTGCAATTTCCTGTTACTAGAACCGGTGTCGGATAACGTGGAGGTGCCAGAAATACGGACTTTCTACTCGTTTTTCCCTCAGGATCCTCGTCTACGCATGCAGAAAGAACTACAGACCAAGACAAAAACAAAACAAAACAAAACAAAAAACAGGTAACAGCTTGGCGCCGGTGGCTCATACACCTGTCATAGCGTGCAGCGTCCTGGTCAATGGATCTGCGCAAGCGCAGAAGGCGCAGCGTGAGTCAGTACGCGTGCGCTGCTCGTTGGTCGGAGTGCGCACGCGCTGGGCGTGGCCCTGGGGAAAATTATAATCCCGCGCGCGCGCGCATGCGCAGAGCTCCCAGTCAATTTGCCGGCGGAGTCTAAAGGGCTCCGGCGGCAGCAAGTGGCCAGAGCTGTGTGCGGCGGTGTAAGGCCGTGCGGCGGCTCCGGCACCATGCCTGGGATGGTGCTCTTCGGCCGGCGCTGGGCCATCGCCAGCGACGACTTGGTCTTCCCTGGGTTCTTCGAGCTGTTCCTAAGAGTGCTGTGGTAAGCGAGGCCGCTCTGCAGGCGGCTTGGAGGGACTGGGGGGCGCGCTGTGCCCGGCGACAGTCACCAAAGTCGCACGTCTTTGAGCGGGGCGCTCGCCTTGCAGGTGCATTGGCAGGTCTTGTGCTCCCCCCCATCACCACGGAGGAGGAGGTAGGTGCTGTCGTTGTCACCATCGTACAGGTACCCACGTCACCTGTGCAGCAGGGCACGAGGTCTTCCCGGGTGTCACTGGTATTTGAAAGACATGGCCTCCAGCCCTTCTTCCTTCAGCCTGGCTCTGCCACTTACTGTCACTCCACGTGGGATAGCAAAACATCTGTTTACAAAGCCAAAGTTGGGAACTAATTTCTCTTCCCTAGTATTTTTTTTTTTCTGGTGGTTCCGGGGTTTGAACCCAGGGCCTCACACTTGCTAAGCAGGTACTCCAGCACTTGAACCACTCCACCAGCTCTTTTTGGTGTTGGATCTTTTCAAGATAGGGTGTCAAGAACTATTTGCCTGGGCTGGCTTTGAACCTTGATCTTCCTCTGCCTCCTGAGTAGCTGGGGTTTTGCAGGTATGAACCACTGGCGCCGGGCTCCATGGCATTGTTGAACCTGTTGGTGGTGAAATGTCACAAGGAGCAGGTTGCCTGGGCAATAAACTGTTGTCTTTGCAAAGTGTGAGACCAGTGTTGCATGAAGTCAGTTCTCAGAGGGGCTGGCAAGGATTCATATTATTCTGAAAAATGTGTTCCCCAGGGTAAGGGGAACTAAACGAGTGATGGGATGAGCCACTCCCAAGAATTTTGTACTTTTTCAGAGCCAGGTTTCTCTGAGATCATTCTCTATGATCATTTCCTAGTACTGCCAAACTGATAACATGATCAGTTATCTAGGCAGATTTTTTTTTTTCAAAGCTGGGGATTGAACCAGTACCATTTAAGGGTACTGGGCTTGAATCCTCAATGGGGTGTTCCTGCCAAGTGGTAGACTCAGGGTCTACATCTTGAGCCACTCTGCTAGCCTTTTGTGTGTGTGTGTGATGGTTTTTTGGGTTTTTTTGGGGTGTTTTTGAGATAAGGTCTCTTGAACTATTTGCCTGGGCTGGCCTCAAACCATGATCCTCCTGATCTCTGCCTCCAGAGTAATTAAGATTAGGATTACAGCCACCAGCACCTGGCTTCAATGCTATCTCTCATTATTGTGTGCCGAATTGCAAAATGTAGTTGTGAAGGTGCAGGACTTCTCCTTTTGAGTTTATCAGTGTGTACCAGGAAACATCTTTGCGTAATTCTCCTCCTGCTCTTTTGATTTTGAGCTACACCCAACAGGTTACAACATGTGTTTATCACCTTCTTGTTAATCCACACATATAAAAATTGTCTTGTTAATAATTCAGCAAGCACATGGTTTGTTGGCTTATTACTTTGCATGTTTCTGAGCCGTGACAGGCTGTCTTCCAGTAGCACCCATTACATTTGCTCCAAGTGGTTTTAAATGGATCATGGCAGAAACAAAATAAGAACAGCGATACGAAGGAGTGGCTCAAGTGCTAGAGTACCTGCCTAGCAAGCATGAAGCCCTGAGTTCAAACCCTATTACCAGTAAGTCAAAACAACAACAGTGATAGAAACATCAAAAGTCTAAAAACTGGGACATGTTTCAAATGGTAGAACACCTGCCTAGCAAGCACCAGGCTCTGAGTTCAAGTCTCAGAATCACTAAAAAAAAAAAAAAGAAGAAGCAGCAGCAGCAGCAGCTCTGGAAAGTATAAAACTCACAAAAGAAAAAGCCATGGTCTTTACTTGACGTGTGAGATGTTTTATTGATGAAAATTACATTCCACAGTGAACCTTAGCCTTGTTTTGGAAAATATCAACTACTTTTATATCTTTTCTATTTTTTTTTGTAGGACTGGGATTTGAACTCAGGGCTTCACACTTGCAAAGCAAGTGCTCTACCACTTGAGCCACACCTCCAGTCCATTTTGCTCTGGTTATTTTGGAGATGAGGGGATCTCAAGAACTATTTGCCTGGGCTGACCTCAAACCTTGATCCTCCCCATCTCAGCCTCCCAAATAGCTGGGATTACAGGCATGAGCCACCAGCACCCAGCTCCCTTTATTTCTTTGTATCACATTTTACAAAGCAGCAACTTGGACCCCATTTCTGACCCTCACTGTTTCTCGACAGGTGGGTTGGCAGCCTGACTTTGTACCTCATGCACCGGCAGAAACTGGACTGTGCTGGCGGAGTCCTGCTCAGCACTTACCTGATAGTTCTCATCATTCTCCTGACAGTTATCATATGTCCCGTGCTGGCCATCGTGTGTGTCAGCATGAAGGGTAAGAAGCAGCCCTCTCTGTCCCTTCTGATCTTAGCAGGTTTACGAGGTTATAATCTGCATTCCGCGCAACTCACCCCCTCACAGGGTCCACGTCAGTGGTTCTCACCGAGTCCACAGAATTGTGCAGCTGTCATCACAGTCCACTTGAGAACATTTTTGTCACCCAAAAAGAAATCATGTCTGGATTCATTAGCAGTCATCTCTCTTCCTCCTGGAGTCCACCCAGCCCCACGTGTCCACTAATCTGCCTTCTGTATAAATTTGGATATTCTGGATATCATATAAGTGGAATTATCCACTTTGTGGCCTTTTGGCCTGGTTCTTAAACATAGCAAAATGTTTTTAAGATTCATCCATTTTATCTGGATGAATTTGGGGTTTTTGGTGGCACTGGGGTTTGAACTCAGGGCCTCACGCTTGCTAGGCAGGTGCTGTACCACTTGAGCCACTCCCCCAGCCCTTTTGGCATTATGTAATTCTCGAATGGGATTTTGTGTCTTTCCCAGGCTGACCTGGACCGTTTATGCTTCCCACGTAGTGGGGTTGACAGGCGTGCTACTTGTGGAGCTGTTGGTTAAAATGGGGTCTAGCTAGCTTTTTTTTTCTTTTTTGTCCAGGCTGGTCTCAAACCATGATACCCCCAATCTCCACTTCCCTAGTAGCTAGGATTACAGTTGTGAGCCACTACACTGGGCTCATTCATTTCTTTTGAATAAGAGTACAGAGGCTGGGCACTGGTGGCTCATGCCTCTAATCCTAGCTACTCAGGAGGCAGAGATCAGGAGGATCGTGGTTCGAAGCCAGCCTGGGCAAATAGTTAAAGAGACCCTATCTCCAAAACACCTTTCACAGAAAAGGGCTGGTGGAGTGGCTCAAGGGTAGGCCCTGAGTTCAAGCCTCAGTACCAAAAAAAAAAGTACATTGAATGTTTATACCACATTTTACTTATTCAGTCATCGTTTGGGTTGTTTCTGCTTTTTCACTTTGATGGATGATGTTACTAAGAGCACTGGCATACAGTTTTGGGGTAGACAGACATGTTTTCGTTTCTCTTGAGTGAATTCCAGTCTCTGGGAGGACAGTTGCTGGGTCACACGGGAGCTCTCTGTAACCTCTTGAGCTGTACCATTCCTCCCAGCAGAGTAGAATACGCTGCTATCTGATTTCCTGACTTGCCATCCTAGTGTGTATAAAACGTTATCTAATGCTTTTGATTTGCATTTCCTCAATGAGTAACGATGCTGACATTTTTGTATCATTTTTGGAGAAATGTCACCTTCTCTACATTTGTAAACTAGATTACTTATCCTTCTATTAATGAGTTGTAAGAATTACTCCTATTTTTATTTTATTTTTGAGGCAGGGTCTTTCTGTGTAGCCAGGCTGGTTTTGAACTCACCACTCTCACATCTCAGCCCCCCTCATAACCGGTATTACAGGCCTGTGACAGCCCACCCGGCTCTACATGTAGTTTGTTTGTTTTTTTCTACATACGACAGTTTTCTGCAGTCATATTCTGGAAATGTCTCAGCAAATGTTGAAAACCTTCCCTGTTTGATGGTTCTGACTCATGGGATAGCTGAGCACGCTGGTGACCAGTGAAGAAATGCATTAGTAAATAAAAACTCATCAGAGCCGGGTGCCAGTGGCTCACGCATGTCATCCTAACTACTCAGGAGGCAGAGATCAGGAGGATCACGGTTCAAAGCCAGCCCAAAGCATGACCCTATCTTGAAAAAACCCATCACCAAAAAGGGCTGGTGGAATGGCTCAAGGTGTAGGTCCTGAGTTCAAAACCCAGTGCCCAAAAAAAAAAAAAATTCATCAGATGCAAGACAATATGGCATGTCACCATCCGCCATATTTCAGTGGTTTATCACTGCTTAGGTCAGGAAGCATGCAGGAAGCATGTTTATCAAATCGTAGATGACAAGGGTAAACTGGCTGATGTAATAAGTGAGAAAATCTAGATTTTTTTTTTCCTTTGGTAGTACAAAGGATTAAACCCAAAGCCTCAAGCTTGCTAGGCAAATGCCCTACTACTTGAACCATGCCTCCAGCTCTTTTGTTTTTATTTTATTTTTTAAATAGGGGCTTATTAACTTTGAACTCATGATCCTCCTTGTCTCCACCTCTCAAGTTCTGGGATTACAGGGATGTACCACCACACCCAGCTAGAATTAGGATCTTCACAGTTTGGAATGATGAATTGAAACACATTAGCTCCTGGCAGAGATGTGGAAGTAGGAGACGTTAGTGGTGAAGTATTTCACAAGAAAAAGGCCTTGGGACTTTGGCTGAGAAGAGTGACATGTGCTCACTTCCTACAACAAAATGTAGAAAATAGGGAGGGGGCGGGGGCAGGGGAGAGAAATGACACAAGCATTTTATGAACATATGAATAAGAAAAAAATAAAATTTTTTTTTAAATGTAGAAAATAGAGCCCTGTACATTTTAGTGTCCCTCTGAACCATGGGCTGATAGGGTCTGGATTGGAAAAGTCCCCAGTTCTGTGTTTGGTGTTGATCTCCAGGACCAGACTGTTATTGGTGCCACACGCTGAAGGAAAGAAACTGAACATGTACAGTGTGGATTAGCACTGTGAATTGTCTTTTGGGTTTTTTTTTGTTTTGTTTTGTTTTGTTTTTGGTGGGACTGGGTTTTGAACTCAGGACTTCACGCTTGCAAAGACAGGCACTCTACCACTTGAGCCACACCTCCAGTCCATTCTCTGTTTATTTCGGAAGTGGGGTGGAGGGGTCTTGTGAATTTTTCCTGGGCTGGCCTCAATCCTCAGTCCTCCCGATCTCAGCCTCCGTAGTAGCTGGGATTACAGGCGTGAGCCACTGGCGGCCCCCAGCCCTATTTGAACTTTTTACCTTTTACATGCAGTACCCAAACTGAATCGATGAGTTTTCCACAAATTTCAAATTTCAGATACATTTTAAAACCATTAACACAATGGTAAATTCTATTCTTGGAACACAGATAACTTGCCTCACTTGGGGCTCAATAATTACTCTGTCACTCGAGCAGAAGGACATGTATTTAGCTTTGGGCTGACAGTCCTCTCTAAAAGGAGAACATGCTGTAGAGGGAACATTTGGAAGAGATGGAATTTAGTCATCTTTATCCAAAAGACAGGGCCTCTTTCTTGGCTATAGAAATGTATAGCTCAGTTGGGAACAATCTTGATACTGCTGTGGTCATTTCTGTTTTTTTATTTCAGAACCTCCCAGATGAAATCCTACAGTTGCTACTGTATGGGAGGTTTAATTAGGTATGGTCCACATGTATGGCTACTGTGATTTTTTTTTTAACAGTACTGGGGGGTTGAACTCGGTCCTAGACAGGCAGGCACTCTACCACTTGAGCTATGTCCATAGCCCTTTTGGTTTTCAGTTTTGTTTTTTGGTACTGGAGTTGAACTCAGGACCTTGTGCTCACTATGCAGGTGCTCTACCACTTGAGCCAGACCCCCAGTCTGTTTTGGTGTAGGTACTTTGGAGATAGGGTCTTGCATTTATGCCTAGGCCAACCTGGACTACTGTCTTCTTATTTATATTTCCCAAGTAGCTAGGATGGCAGGCACATGCCAGCACACCTGAGTTTTTATTGGTTAAGATGGGGTCTCACAAATTTTTTTTGACTGGCTTCAAGCTGTGATCCCCCTGATCTCAACCTCCAAGTAGCTAGGATAATAGGCATGAGCCACTGTACCCCCACCCTATTTTTATTTAGTTTTGAGATAGGGTCTCACTAACTTTGCCCAGGCTGGCCTAGAACTGGGGATCCTCCTGCCTTTGTGTCCTGAGTAACTGGGATTACAGGTGTACTCCATCGTACCTGGCTACCATATTTTGATAGAAGAACACCCCTGACAAATGAAGCCTGCCCTTTGCCATTCTGGGCTTTGGCTATGGGGCATCTCAACGTCTCCTCTGTGTTTGTGTCTCAGGAGCTCATTGCTCATCTCCTGCCACAGAAGACTGTTGCGATCTGTGACATGGGCCTTCTCTTTGTCACTGTTACTTACCTGACCTGGGTTTAGGACATGCCAGTGCAGCCATGCCCTTGGGCAATGGGCTTATCAAGCTAGGATGCTTCCTGCAGCAGCCAGGTCCACACCAGACCTTTTATCTTGAGAAGGAAGTAAATATGTGAATGAACTGAAAACGTTTTTCCAGGAAGGCACATCTTCGTAACAGAGACTTCGTAAAGGCACAGCTTCGGTGTCTGTTGGAGAGTTGGGCAGATGGCTGCTGATGCTGCTAGGATGAATCCTTATTTAGAAGCTCAGCCATGTCAGCAGATATCACTTCCCGCTCCTCTGGGGTCAGCTACTGTTGCACAGCAACAGGCTCCAGGGCGTAGGACTGACCTCTTGTGTACCTCCACCCTATGTCCCTCAGAGAGAGAGGGAGGGAGAGAAAGAGAGCTGTCACAATTACTTATAACATTTGTCTTTGCGCCAAAAAATGAGGGCAGATAGTGACTCATGTTTTGAGATGTGACCATGTGAAGTAATTCTAACACAGAATTGAAAGGCTGTTTCTTTACCACACCATTCTTTAGATTTTTTTTTTCAGTCAGTTTTAGTTTTAATTAAACAGCATTTTTGTGTCACTTAGAGTTCCTCCCAGCTTTTTCCCAAAGGGAAAGAGTTGATGTTTTACATAAAGAATTAAAGCGTGGGGCTGGAAGGCATGCCTCAAGTGGTGGAGCGCCTGTCTAGTAACCGTGAGGCCCTGAGTTCAAACCCCAGGATCACCAAAAAAAGACTGATGGGAAAGAAGGAAGAAAGGAAGGATGCAAGCATGGATTGACACACACTGGGTATCATGGCTCACACCTATAATCCTGGCTATGTGGGAGGTGGAGATCTGGAGGATCATGGTTCAAACCCAGCCCAGGCAAAAAGTCAGAGAGACCACATCTCAACCAATGGCTGAACACCTGTCATCCCCAGCTACATGGGAAGCACAAATAGGAGGATCACAGTCCGGGCTGGCCTGGGCAGAAAGTGAGACCCTATCTGAAAACTAACCAATGCCAAAAGGGCTGGGCATGCCACTCAAGTGGAAGAGCACTTGCTAGGCCCTGGGTTCAAACCCCAGTACCACAAAAAAAGAGAGACTTAAACACACAGACCTCGACTGATACTTCTTCTTTTTACAAATACAGTAAAAGTGTCATGTCTATGTGGTAGGCTTCTTCAGCCAGCCTCACACATCAGAACTGCTCACTTCCAGAGTGGGGGTGTAGCTCAGCAGTACAGTGCATGCTTACTTGCATGGGGGCCTGGGTTCCATCCCTGGCAAACCCCTCCCCAAAAGAAATAAGAAGTGGTCAGGTGCTGTAGCTTACTCCTGTAATCCTAGGTATTAGGGAGACTGGGATCAGGAGGTTTATGATTTGAAGCCAGCCCAGGCAGACAGTTCTTGAGACCTCATCTCCAAAATAACCTGAGCAAGCTGGAGGTGTGGCTCAAGTGGTAGAGCACCTGTTTTGCAAGTGCAAAGCCCTGAGTTCAAATTCCAGTAGCACCAAAAAATAAAAAAAAAAATTGAGCAACTGCAAGGAGCACTTCTGTTGTCCTGGTATCATCAGGCACCCCAATTTGGGCAATGATTTATGGGCACCCTACTCAGAACTTAGAAGTGGTTCTGATCACCAGTGAGTAGAAAATGAACTTGAGACTTTTCGCCTGGCTTCCTGACCTCCGTCACCTGCTCGCAATCTTGGGCCTTAGTTGCCAAGTGCAAACAGGAGTTGGAGAGTGGGGTAGGCACAGTACAGGCGTGTACTATAGTTGGTGGATTTTTGTTTTATGGCACTGGAGTTTGAACTCAGGGCCTCAAGCTTGCTAGGCAAGCACTCTACCACTTGAGCCACCCCCCAGCCCTTTTGTTTTAGTTATTTTTCTGATAGTGTCCCACTTTTATGCCCAGGCAGGTCTGGGCTGTGATCCTCCTGTTTATGCTTCCTGCCTAGCTGGGATAATAGGATGCACTATGTCCAGCTTTTATTGTTAAGATGGAGTCTCACAAACTTTTTTGCCCAGGCTGGCCTCAAACCGTGATCTCCCTGCCTCCCAAATAGCTGGGATTACAGGCATGAGCCACCATGTCCTGCTAGTTGCTATATTTTTGTAGAAAGGAAGCTTTTCAAGTGAGTTGTTGATTTTTTTTCTGTATTTCAGGAACCATTTGTAATCCTGGGCCACGGAAGTCTATGACTAAGCTGCTGTACATCCGCCTGGCACTCTTCCTGCCAGAGATAGTCTGGGCTTCTCTGGGGACCGCCTGGGTAGTGAAAGGAATCCAGTGTGACAGGACAGTTGTCACTGGCATCATTGCCACCGTCATCGTCAGGTGAGCTCGTCCATCTTCTCTTTCACTTTCTCATGCCCTTGAGACACAGGCATGCGAACCTTTCTGAAGAACCCAGCAAACAACTGAACATCCCAAGAACTTCCTGGCATAGTTGGGACTGGGTCTGTCTGAGTACCTGGTGACAGCTTAGAGACACTTGTTTTTAGAAATGGTCCTTCTGCCATGGTGTACTTGGTGATGTTTTCTTTGTCACTGGGTCTCACTTTTCTGCATTCCCTCATTTCACTTGTAAGAAGAAAGAGAGAACCTTTAGCAGGTATAAAAAAAAAAAAGTTTTTTTAATAAAAAGAAGAAAGAAAACCAAAGACCAAAGCAAAAACAAACTAAAGGTAGCTGAGAAAAAGTAGGAGTGTCTGAAATTGTGATAGGGAATCCTACTTTACTGAGGTTTATAATAGGATTTCACATCCTCAAGGCTAAAAGTCTTAGCGATGACTTAGCTCTGTCCCCTTGTGTCATGAATAAGGAAACTGAGGCTGGTGTGTCAGCTGCCTTTCCAGAGTCACACAGCCAGGGGGCGGCAGAGTCCACTCATGGAGGTGCCTCGCCAATCTAGAAATAGTGATGAAGGAAGCCCTGTCAGAGTGTCTCACAACATGGAAATTCTGGTTTGATCCAGAAGAATCCTGAGGCCCGGAGGACGAGGTGCTTGAGTCATGAACCAGGGGCTATAGACAATTCATTCCAGAGTCTTCTGTGGCCAGGCTGCCCCTCTGCCCACCAGAGGCTCTTGTTTCCTTTATGGTCTTTACTTGTGGCACTGTGGTGTTTGTGGGGTCTGAGTCAACTATGGGTTGGTGAGGAACCTTCTAGAAGACAGTCATCTTCCTGGGTCTCATAGTAGAGATGCAGTAACCAGGCATCTGGAGAGGAGGCCCACAGTCACCAAGCCTTTTCCACTCTGTGTTTTGCAGTTGGATCATTATCGCCGCCACTGTGGTGACCATTGTCATTGTCTTCGACCCACTGGGAGGGAGAATGGCCCCATATTCCTCTGCCAGTCCCGGTCACCTGGATAGTAATGATTCGAGCCAGTTCCTTAATGGCCTCAAGACCGCAGCCACGAGCGTGTGGGAAACCAGAATGAAGTTCTTGTGCTGTTGCGTGGGGAATGACGACCACACTCGAGTTGCTTTTTCCAGTACGGCTGAGCTTTTCTCAACCTACTTTTCAGTAAGCAAGGATCTGGTGTGGCCTCTTTCTTCTGTTGCAGTGAACACTTTCCTCCATGCTGCGAGCCCGCGCCCCACCCACATGCAGTGGTCCTCGAGAGCCTGGGCCTTGGGCACGGGGCCGGGCCGACTGTACAGGCCTTGTTTTGCAGGCCCTCGCTGGCTCAGGTGTGCCCTTTCACTGACAAGTGTAATGGAAACCGTGCATTTGCTGTCTCGGCTGACAGCAGGTGTAGACAGCATCCTGTATCCGGGGTATAACAGACCACTCTGTCTCACCACTTCACATCATGGTAGAAAAGGAGCAGTCATCCACTTTGGAAGGAAAGCTTGAATAATTGCGGGGGGAAAGGATGTCATCTTTCTTCAGCACTCTCTTGAGGGATTGGGAATACTCATTTTCCTTTCATACCCAAGTACATGCTTTTGTCTTGTCGTAGATGTCTTACGCTAAACAGCTGTTACGTTTGATCAAGACCAAGTCTTAGCATCCCACGTACTTCCCATCTTTCTCGCTTCTCTGTGGTGTCTGACTTTGCACTGCCCAAGGCTGGCCGCACAGTACGACACCAGGCCAAAGCAGCAGCCTCCACGTGGTGGTTAGGGAGGTGTGACTCCTAAATCTTACAGGAGTGCCTCAAGATATTCTCAAGATATGTGGAAGAGAAGAAACTGGCTTTTCTCAAGGACTTCTCAGTCTACATCAGAGGCAGAACTGATGGCCCAAAAGCCAGTACATGGGCCTTTCTTGTGAGTTAAAAGTGCCCGTGGATATGAAGGATTTCTTTTTCCTTTTCTTTCTTTTTTTTTTTTTTTTTTGAGACAGGACCTCAGTATGTAGCCCAGGCTGGTCTTGAACTCATGGTCCTTTTGCCTCAGCCTCCTGAGTGCTAGGATTACAGGTATGTGCCACCATGCCCAGCTGGTAAAGTATTTCTGGCTCCTCTACATCTGTCCTGAAGAAAGAAGGGAAAGTCAGACTCAGAAGATTGACTGTGTTGCTCTTGTACTTTGGGATTTCTTTAGGGACATGCCTTGCCCAGTGAGCATACATTCAGTCTCATAAAACTTACCGCAGACTGTGCTTCAACAAAGCCATCACAGACGCTCAAGAGGCCCGTAATCCTAGCTACTTGGGAGGCTGAGATCGGAAGGGTTAGTTTGAGGCCAGCTTGGGCAAATAATTCGAGAGACCCCCATCTCCAAAATAAGCAGAACAAAATGGTCTGGAGGTGCAGCTCAAGCAGGAGAACACTTGCTTTGCAAGCACAAAGCCCTGAGTTCAAAACCCCAATCCTACCAAAAAGGAAAAAGAAAGAAGTGAGAGGATAAACTTGGACTAAATTTTTAGCCATTTATTCCCGTTTTACAAAAGAGCTAGAAATAGGTAAGTCATTTGAGCTGAATGATGACATAGAGATTAATCTAGTGGATTTGTCTGAGGACAAGGTATGAAATAAGCAGAGGACAGGCCTAGCAAGCATGAGGCCCTGAGTGCCATCCCCAGTTAAAATATGTATTTATTAAAAAATGTCAAGCTCACGCATAGGAGTCCTGCAAAGAAAATGCTTTCTCATATACCCTCGTAGATGTCAGTGCGTCTGTGTGTGAGTGCATGTGCACTCGTGAGCTCCGTGAACTGAATTGTGAAGGGTTCCTGCTGGGTTTCATGACAGGCCATTCTCGTTTCTCACCCAGGACACAGACCTGGTGCCCAGTGACATTGCGGCAGGCCTGGCCCTCCTCCATCAGCAGCAGGACAACATCAGCAACAGTCAGGATCCTCATGAGGTGATCAGCCACTCCCCAGGCCACTCCCAGGTAATCACAAAGGACTGCTGGATTATCCAGCCTCTTCAGAGACCTTCAGACATACATCCCTAAATCCAGGTGTGGTAGTACATGCCTGTAATTCTAGTGCTGAGGCCAGAGGATTGTGACCGCGAGGTCAGCCTAGGCTGCAGAGCAAGACTGTGTCTCAGAAAAACGCAGCCAGTCAACAGCGATTTCTGTAGCCTTTGGGCTGGAATTCCAACCTGAGACTTTTTTTTTTGTGGTACTGGGGTTTGAACTCAGGGCCTCATGCTTGCTCAGCAGGTGTTCTACCACTTGAGCCACGCCCTAGCCCAATTTGTGACTTCTGGTTGGTGTTCCTCGGCACCTGGGGTCCAGATAGTGGGAGCCCATTTCTGGCCAGTCCATCACATTTTCAACCTTTGGTTTTAGGAAAATCACTGTAGGATGCCATGCACCAGAAAACTTCCTTCTGGGATGGGACCTGAACCCTGTGTGTTTTCTTTCTTCTGTGGGTCTAGGGAACAGAAATATTTCAGCTTTGCATAGTAGTTGTTTTCATGCCAGAGGTTTTTATGGTTTTGGAAGAAGTCACATGTAGACTGTGTGTGTCCTCTGCCCCTCAGTAAAGCAGCCAGACCTTGGGCAGCACAGGCCTGGAGATCCAAGGGACTCAGTGCAGTGATCCAGGATCCAGTGATCCAGGCAGGGGTCAGTGACTTCTGCAAGAACCACTAGGGTCTTTTTGCTGTTGTCTTCTCCACCCTCAACTGCATCTCAGGAGGAATCTGCTGCAGACTGTAGTTAAGGACCAGCTTTCCAGCCAGCATGATTGCTCACACCTGTAATCCTAATGACTCAGGAGGCAGAAATCAGTTTGAAGCCGGCCTGGGCAAATAGTTCAAGAGACCCTATCTCGAAAAACCCATTACAAAAAAGGGCTGGAGGAGTGGATCAAGTGGTAGAACGCCTGCATAACAAGCACAAAGCCCTGAGTTCAAACCAAAAAACCACCATAAAAAAGGACCCGCTTTCCCCACAGAAGTCCTCCGAGTGCTCTAAGTCCTTGAGCAGAAAGCAGGAAGAGTTAGAATTGAAAGGCTTGGGTTTGAAATCTTTGTGTGCTCACCCTGTCCAAGGTGAGTTCTCTTACATTAAACACTTTGCCTTTTTCTTTGTCCTCCAGGAAGCTGACCTGGATGCAGAATTAGAAAACTGCCACCATTACATGCAGTTTGCAGCAGCCGCCTATGGGTGGCCTCTCTTCATTTACAGAAACCCATTCACAGGCCTTTGCAGGATCGGTGGTGACTGGTAGGTTGGCACGGTGGGAGGTCTCCATGTCCACACATCTTTTGCAAAGAAAAATCCTAGCTACATGGGAAGCTGAGATCAGGAGGATTGCAGTTCAAGGCCACCTCATGAAACCCCATCTCAGCCAAGAGCTGGGCAGGGTGGCTCATGCCTGTTGTCTCAGCTGTGGTGGGAAGCATAAAATAGAAAGATCATGGTCCAGGCTGGCCTAGGCAAAAGAAATGAGACCCTATTTCAAAACAATCAGAGCAAAAAGGGCTGGTGGAGTGGCTCAAACGATAGAGCTCCTGCCTAGCAAGCAAGAGGCCCTGAGTTCAAACTCCAATATGATCAAAAAAACCCTGTATTTTGGAGTATTTCAAAAGCTTGCAGGAACACAGGAAAGAAGACCTAAGTCCTTAATGTAGGGAAACCAGCTCTGACTTCATCACGTCCCGTGCACTGTGTAGGTATATCATCCCTTTTTTTTTTTTTTTTTACAGTACTGGGATTTGAACTCAGGGTCTACACCTTGAGCCACTCCACCAGCCCTTTCTTGTGATGGATTTTTTCAAGATAGGGTCTCACAAACTATTAGCCCAGTCTGGCTTCGAACCTCGAGCCTCCTGATCTCTGCCTCCTAAGTAGCTGGGATTACAGGCGTGAATCACTAGCACCCCGCCCATCTCTACCTCTTTATCTTTCATTACTCCACCCTGAATGTCCTAATTTTACATAACTCCTATGAAATCATAAAACTCAGGACCCTGGTCATTGACCACTAACTAATCTATGACTTGTATTCAGATTCTTTCAGTTGTCCCAGTAATACTGTTGTCAGCAGATTTTCCTCCATGTAGGAGTCCCTCGCCTTAATCTCCTTCAGGTGGGACAGTTCCTCGCCATTCCGTCTTTTACAGTACTAACATATTAAAGAGCCAGTGTTGACTTTTCGTAGGAGGGTCCTCCATCTGCATTGTCTGATGGTTTCCTTGTAGTCTTTCTTTTTTTTTTGATGGGATTGGGGTTTGAACTCAGGACTTCACGCTTGCAAAGCAGGTGCTCCACTACTTGAGCCACACCTCTAGTCCTGATGGTTTCCTTGTGATGAGATCTCAGTTTGATTTGGGGCAGAAATGTGCGGAGCAGTACGTCCTTCCTAAGACTTCCTGTCAGGACACATGGTGCCTATTGTCCCACCCCTGAGGCTGTTAACACTGATCCCTTGGCTTGAGGCATGATGGCCAGGTTCTGCCACACATGATGTCTCCTCCCCTTCTTCATAAGAAGCCATCTCTGGGGAGGTCGTTTCAATATCCAGACTTTCACCCGGTAGTTCTAGCGTCTGTCAACCCTCATGTGAGTCAGTTACTACTCGAATAGTTGTAAAATTGTGAATTTTCTAAATTCACTGTTTCCTCTGCATTAGTTGTCATCTGACTGAAAATCTTTTCCTTCCCTACTGTTTATTATCAGTATAGGGATACAGGCTCTTACTTTATTCAACAGGTTGGAACTCACTGCTGTTCATTTTGTAGTAAGTATAGTACTCAAAATGTTCCAGACTTGGGTCTGCAGACTGGCCTCTGTCCTTTTGATTATCTCATTCTGGTTTTTTTGGTACTGGGGTTTGAACTCAGGGCCTCACTGTTGTTAGGCAAGCATTTCACCACTTGAGCCATATCCCAGCCCTTTTGCTTTTAAGATTTTTTTTTTTTCCAAATAGGGTCTCATGAGTTCAAACCCCAGTACCAACCAAAACAAAAAAGATTATTAAGATGAGTTCTTTTCATGTTTGTGTCTTCTTCACAATAACGGTTACTAACCTGGGGAGGTTTGGTTCTCCATTCTCACTGGTTATATTTGTTTTTCACTATGTAAAGCGGTAGGCTCAGTACGAGGTTATATATACACAATGTTTCTTTTAAAAGCCATCTGTGTTAACCAGGCTGTCCTGGAAATGCCCAATGCTACAGTGGGAATCACCGTCCCTTGGTGAGGGTTCAGGCTGGCACAGTCACTGACCTCTTTGCTATCTTTTTGGTGGCAGCACTGGGGTTTGAACTCAGGCCCTGGCGCTTGCTAGGCAGGCGCTCTACCATTTGAGCACCACCTCCAGCCCTTCTTTGCCATTTGTTTTAGCTGCAGAAGCAGAACAACAGAGTATGACCTGGTTGGAGGTGACCAGCTCAACTGTCATTTTGGCTCCATCCTGCAGACGACGGGGCTGCAGTACAGGGACTTCATTCACGTCAGCTTCCACGACAGGGTATGCGATGAAGCAATGGCTCTGAGCTAGCTGTGGGTCCTGCAGTGCCCTGAGATCCCGTGGGGCTACAACTATTCTTAACACGATGCAGACACGCACACTCGGCGCTGTTCCAGGGAGCGAACAGGCCCGTTGAAGCCCACACAGGTCTGTGGAGCCAGGCTAGAAACCCAGAGTAACCCAGGAGCAGCAAGGCTTCATCACTGTGTTTCTTACGTAAGAGTGTCCTGGGCAGAACCGTGAGCTCTAGCGGAACTCATCCCACACAGGTTGCTTGAGTTAATAATCCTTGTTCTGGGTTTTGTTTTTCTTTTTCTTTTTTTGTTGGTACTGGGGTTTGAACTCTGTCCTCTTGCTTACTAGACAGGCACTCTACCACTTGATCCATGCCTCCACCCCTTTTTACTTTAGTTACTTCTTAGGTAGGATCTCATAGTTTTGCCTAGGGCCAGCCTAAGTTCATGGTCCTCCTACCTACAGCCTCTCCATAGCTGGCATTATAGGTGTACATCACCCAGCTTGTTGGCCTAACATTTTTCCAGGGCTAGCCTCAAACCAAGATCCTCCCAATCTCTACCTCCTCCTGAGTAACTGGGATTACAGGTATGAACCACTGCACCTGGCTGTGTTCTGAGTCTTGAACTCCATCAACAATAGTGTAGTGTCATGGGTCTCCTACTTTGGATGTGTTGTCATCATCCCTTAGGGATCTCATGAAGCTGGAGCTGTCAGCTTCAACAGTCCATGCCCAACCCTGCTCAGCAGCCCTCTATGCCGTTCTCCTCCACACCCAAATCCAAGAACCACTAGTGGAACACGGAGATTCTTGGACTTGACCACCTCACAGAATCTCTTGGGGAGCTTTTAAATGTCTTACAGTCCAGCCCCCACCCGCAGGTCAGCTCAGTCAGACTCTCCAGCAATGGGACCTTTCTCAGGATTGTTGAACTTGCCCTGGTTTCATGGTGCAGATAATTTGGGAACCTTTACCCTGCAGCTCAGCAGCCCCCAAACTGCTTCACAAGTCCTGATGCTCAGCTCAGTAACCCCAGTTAACTCGGAGACTGGAGCGAGGCTCTGAGTGGCCTTGGACGGCACTGCCCTGCAAAGTGGTCATGGCAGGAAGGACACTGGGTGTCAGGAAAGATGGCTTCCCGGAGGCTGCCCGGGGAGCTGTTCAGGGGCCCACACGAAGTCAGCATGCGTGCCCACGGCCCTGTCCTGTGGCAGCTGGACAGGTGATGGTCTGCCTCCCTGCTTGGTGCCCACAGACCAGTGACTATTGGGCAGTTGCTTCCCCTGGGTCAGGCCTTTCTCATTCTACTCTGCACAGCTGTCTTCAGAGTTAGGTGACATATACTCTGTCTTCAGATGAGGACCAAGTCTGAGAACTGGACAGTCACTGGAACCACAGCAGGAAGGAGCAGTGCTGAATTCTGCCCTGCTCCAACCCTTTCAAGACCTTTGGGACACCAAGTCTGAATCCAGGAGCCTGGGTGCCCCCAAATGAAAGTGCACGCTAACACCCAAAGCTTTTGCCGGGGCTTAGACCACACAAAGAAGAGGACACTGGTCTTGCGTTGGTCATCACCTAACAGGACTGAGCCAGGCCTGCCCCAAGACCCCAGGAGGTGACAGCTGCAGGCTGAAAGTCATGAGTGGCACCTGTCGTTCCCCTGTCCCGGGATGGTCTTTGACTGACCGGGGAGCCTGGCCCAGCGGAGGAGGTGGAGTGCCCTTACACAGCAGAGTGGTAGATCTGACAGGGAGAGTCAGAGAGCCTACGAGAGAGGACATCTGCCCAGCAGCAGGTTTTCTGGAAGACTTGTGCACAGAGGATCAAAGTAGTCAGTCCCCCGGGCTGGTGAGGGTGAGGTGGGAGAAGCTGGTCTATGGATCCTTCTTGTTGGGTCACAGGCATCCAGGTTTCTTTGTAGTAACCAGCTGCTGTGTGAACAGCGACACCAGCATGGCTGGGCTTCATATGACTGGCAGCTCCTTTCCTCCCTTCAGGTCTATGAGCTGCCCTTCTTAGTGGCTCTGGATCACAGGAAGGAGTCTGTCGTCGTTGCCGTGAGAGGGACCATGTCTCTGCAGGTAATGCTGGCACCTGGGAGCCGGGTGGGAGCAGGAAGTGTGGCTCAATGAGCTGTGGCTGCTTGGAACAGAGGAAAACGTTAAGCAACAGAGGAAAACACCGAGGAAGTGGGGGAGGAAGCAAGTGGGCTTGTGAAACACACCCTTTGCAAAACTGGGGTGAGGCTGTTCTCTCTTAACTGCTGTCAGGAGCAGAGATGCCAGAGGGCTCAGCCTCCCACCCACAGGGTTGCAACAGGGGCACCGCTTGGCTCCCCTCCTGCTCACCCCTTGATGTGCTGGCTAAGGCCCCAGCCCCAGTCCTCCCCATGAGTTTCCTGGGCCCAGAACCAAGTAGGACATATATTGGTCACCAGGTTCTTGATCTGGGTCCTCATCAGCACCACCCTCCACCCAATCCCCATGTGGATGGCTTTTTTCTGGGTGCAGTGAACCCCCTTTGTCTGTCACCAGCCTAGTGCTTCCTCTTCTGTCACCCCCATCCCTGACCACTCCCGGGTCAACTCTCTTCCCTCTTTCTGGGCTGTGCTTTCTAATTTCCTCTTGGCCACTCTTCACTCTCACTTCCTCATTCTTCTCTGCCGACCCAGGAAATGTAACAAGACTTCAGAGCTCCTGCTGTCTGCCCTCTTCTGCTTCTGAGCAGCTTTGGGTGCAGCCTTCTTCCTCCCCACCCCATCCAGGACCTGCATTCCTCCATACCTGCATTTTCTAGGGCCCCCTGGGGCTCCGGGTTTACGTTCGTTCCACCAGTGCCCCCAGGAACCCTTTAGAGACAATGTAGTTGGCCCTGCTTCCTCTGCAACGCCACTGCCTGACCTATGGCCTGTGGAGTGCTGTCCTGGCTCTCTGACCATCCTTTGTTCCCAGTGTCATGACCTGCACTCTGCTCAGTCCTCTTCCTGCACCACTGGACCAGTTTTATGTCCCAATGCCTGACCAGGCGCTCATTTTCCCAGCCTGATCTTTATCCTGTCCAAAGGTGTCCAGCTCTTCCTGTCTTTCTCAGAGGCCTCCAGTACCTCTCCCTGCCTTTGGGTTCCTCTCCCATACCCAACCCAGTGCCTTTCCAGGTCCCACTGTGCACACAGTTCACTGCAACCAGGCGTTCTCAGCGAATCACCTATGGGGCTTTTAAGTAGCATAGGGGTGGAGCCCACCCCAGCAGGTGGCCTCTGTGGGGCCCAGGGACTCCTGGTGCTGTCTCCATGAGGACGGGCTGCTCCTCTTCTTCCCCCATCAGCCTTTCTCTCAAGGCTGTGCCCAGGTAACCCCTTTGGCACCCTTGCTTGTGGCAGTCAACCCAGTGAGCCGCTGACTGGGCCTCTGAGCATGGAAACAGTGCTTTGTTCAAAACCCCACTACAGGCTGCAGTGGGGGAAGGCGGAGGTGTGTGTCAGGCACCGCACGTTCCCTCCACCATTGGTGCCTACCAGGCTGTCTCCCGCCTCACCTGGGTTTCTCTGCCAAGGTCAGGTGTCACAGCAGTCTGACCAGGACACTGTGCCATGCTCTGTCCCTCAGAGGGAGTGTCCTGTAAGTCAGACATCCTCAGCCCAGCCACAGGCTGACACTTCTGTCAACACCTTCTTTACAGGACATCCTTACTGACCTGTCCGCAGAAAGTGAGAACCTTGACCTGGAAATTGAGTTGCAGGACTGTGTGGCCCACAAGGTACAGCCCGGGTTGGGTGTCTTCTGTGCGTGATGATGAGTGACAAACACGGTCACCATGGGCCAGGCACTGTTCATTCTCACTGCTGATTCTCCTGAGAGAAGCCATTTCAAAGAGATGGAGTGACTTGGCTGGAGCCGTGGAGTGGTGGGAATCAGTGTCAGACTTGGCATTTAAGCCAAGTGCATTGTCCTAGCCATGTGCTGGTGGCTCAAATCTATAATCCTAGCTACTGGGAGGCTGAAATTGGGAGGATTTTGGTTTGAGGCCAGCCTGGGCAAATAATTTTTGAGACCTCCACCTCCAAAATAACCAGAGCAAAATGGACTGGAGGTGTGGCTCAAGTAGAGCGCCTGCTTTACAAGCTCAAAGCCATGAGTTCAAACCTCAGTCTCACCAAAACAATAGAAGTTTTTAAAAGCACATCGTCTTGGTGAACCCAGCTTTAGTAGAGCACAGACTAGCACAGCGACAGCTCCCGCTGGGCCTTGGAGTTGGCACGCGCTGTGTTGCTCTGAGCATCAGTCCCCAAGCTCTGTCTGCACAGAACTGTGGTCAAAGCCAAGTTCTTAGTTTACTCTTCCTGTGCTGTTGGGGTGGGGCCGTGGGTTTCTCCTGACAGAGGGGAAGAAAACCCCATTCAGATCAGAGCTAGTTTTTTTAAATGGTAAAATACACATAAGTTTTATTGTCTTAACCATTTGGAAGAATATAAGTCAGTGGCATTAAATATTTGCACAATGCTCTATACCCATCACCATCATCACTGTCTATCCCCAGTTTTTTGGGTTTTGTTTTTGTTTTTTTCTTTTTGACGGTACTGGAGTTTGAACTCAGGGTTTCACACTTGCAAAGCAGTCACTCTACTGCTTGAGCCACACCTCCAGTCCATTTTGCTCTGGTTATTTTGAAGAGGGGTCTCATGATCTATTTGCCTGGGCTGGCCTCAAACCGCATTCCTCCCAATCTCAGCCTCCGAAGTAGCTGGGATTACAGGCGTGAGCCACCAGTGCCCGACCACCCCCCAATTTTTTTTTATCTTTGCCAAGCTCTGTGCCTGTTAAACACTCAGGCCCCATGCCCAGCCCATGGGACCCTGTATCCCACTTTCTGTCTGTAGACTTGGTTGTTGCAGGGCTGTAATGTGAGCAGAAGTGGTCATTCAGCATTTGTCATTTTGTGAGTGGCTTACTTCACTGACCATCATGTCCTCAGATTCACCCATGTAGCACGTGTCAAAATGTCCATCCTTTTAAACTGAACAATATTGCCTTGTATGGATGGTCACACCTATCCACCCGATGGACACTTTGACTGCTGTGACTTTGCCGCTGTGCACACGGGTCTGGTGACGTCTGTGTGGGTTCCCTCCTCCAGTCCTGTGGGAGCACCTGTAGGAGTGGAGTTGCTGTAACGTGTGGCACTCCACATTTAACTTTGCAGGCTGTCACTCTGACTTCCATAGCACTGTGTCATTTATAACACAGTCCTGCCATTGTGCTGGGGACTTCCTGTGTCTCCACAGCCACCTGGTCATGGCTTATTTTCCCTTTTTTGGCAGTGCTGGGGATTGAACCTAGGGCCTCACGCTTGCTAGGCAGGCCCTCCACGGCTTGAGCAACACCCCCAGCTCCTTTTCCTCTTGTTTCAGGGGAGGCCGTGCAGGGTGTGAAGTGGCTTTCACTGTGGTCCCTGATGACTAGTAATGTCACAGTCTTTAACTGATTCACTCCCCTGGGTCCCAGTGGCTGCCAGGGTGGAAGGCAGAGGCCTGACTCTGCTTTTGCAAACTTTGTATTTTTATAAACAAAACAGGTAACACTTTTTTTTCATGCTTCTTGCTAAGCTGTCCTTTACCCACTTGAGGCGCTCTGCCTGCTTGCCCTGTTTTGTCTCAGGTTTTTTCAAGATAGGGTCTCTAGAACTATTTGCCTGGGCTGGCATAGAACCTCAATCCTTCTGATCTCTGCCTCCAAGTAGTTAGGACTACAGGTGTAAGCCACCAGTGCCCAGTTAGGAAGTTTTAAATTTTATTGTTTTCTGAAATTAAACTCAATACTCAGGAGGCAGAGATCAGAAGGATTGTGGTTTGAGGCCAGCCCAGGCAAAAACTTAGCAGGAACCTCATCTCAATAAATAAGCTTGGCATGGTGTTGTACCCACTATTATCCCAGATACATAGAAAGCAGAGGTAGGAGGATGGTGGTTCAAGGTTAATCCAGACAAAAACAAGATCCTATATGAAAAATAACTAAAACATAACATAAAAGGCCTGGAGGCAGGAGGGAGGGGCTCAAGTGGTGGAGCACCTGCCTAGCAAGTGTGAGGCCCTGAGTTCAAACCCCAGTGCTGCCAAAAAAAAAAAAACCCAGCTGTTTGTGATGTAAATCTGACCAACAGTAGGGCCCTGACTGGTCAGCTGTCACACAGCCACACAGCAAAATATCCCAAGCTGACATGGCGGGTGTTCCTGGTGCCATCCCCCACCCCCTTACCTATGGAGCAGTGAGCACCTGTCACACCAGCGTCACAACCAGGGCCGGCAAACACCAGGACCGCTGACCCCATGAGGTCACATCCCATTTGGGGAAGCAATTGGAGAACCCAGACACACGCAGACTGTGACCCCCATCTCCGCGTGTCACTCACCCGCCCTGTCTGTTTTCAGGGCATTTCTCAGGCCGCCAGATATGTGTACCGACGACTCATCAACGACGGGATCCTCAGCCAGGCCTTCAGCGTTGCCCCCGTGAGATTTACTTTCAATCCCCCCCTCCACCCTCCCCCCCGCCATCAGCCAGCTGTCACTCTCAGCCTTTACCTCACTCTGTCTCTTGTCCTCTAGGAATACCGGCTGGTCATCGTGGGACACAGCCTGGGGGCAGGAGCGGCAGCACTGCTGGCCATCATGCTCAGGAGGTCCTACCCGCAGGTGCGGGCCTACGCCTTCTCCCCGCCCCGGGGGCTGCTGAGGTGGGTGCTCAGGTCCCGCTCACGCCATCCACTGGCCGTCTGCCGGGCACCTAATCGCCATTTCTCACGGTCACGAGGAGTTTGCTTTAAAGCACTGCTCAGCTAAAGAAAAACCATGCAGCCGTTCTTAGATCTCTCTGATCAGAGCTGTAATTTCCTAAAAGACATAATTCTAAGATTCGTTTTTGTTTCTCAGTAGTACTGGGGTTTGAACTCAGGGTCTCACACTTGCTAGGCAGGCGCTCTACCATTTGAGCCACGCCCCCTAGCCCTTTTTTGTGTGTTTTTTCAAGATAGGGTCTTGTGAACTATTTGACCAGGGTGACGTTGAACAGAGATCCTCCTATGTAGCTGGGATTACAAGTGTCAGCCACTGTGCCCAGCCTGAATGGTAGTTCTTACTAGCCCATGTAAATGTGTGAGATTCCTTGCTTCAAAACCATAAGTTGGGGTGTTCATAGAGGCTCTCCAGGGAGAAGCAGACAGCTACAGAAGACTCTAGTTTTACGGCATTGCTGGGGATTGAACCCAGAGCCTCACACATGCTAGGCAAATGCTCTACCACTAAGCCACATCCCCAGCCCCGTTTTATTTTTTTTTGGCAGTGCTGGGATTTGAACTCAGGGCTTCACGCTTGCTAGGCAAGCCATTCTGCCAGCCCTAAGGTTTGTTTTTTAAGACTTTATTTTTTAGAGCAGTTTTAAGGTTTTAGCAGAATTGAACAGAAGGTACAGAAAAATGCCACCTCTGTACCCACCTCCCATGCCAGCGCCCCCACCAGAGCTGTTCGTTTGGCTATCCACTGACCCACATGGACACAGTCACGCTCACCCACGGTCACAGTCTGTGCTAGGGGTCACAGTCCACAGGTTTGGACAAATGCATAATGACAATTTTATGACTTTGAAAAGTATATTTTTCTTTGCTGATTCAACATACTGGACTGGTAAAAGTAACCTTTTGCCTAGATTATAAAAGAAATTGAACTGCAATTTAAAAAAACAGAAACAGAAAACAAGCACAGGGCTGGCTGTGGCTTCTCGGCTGCCTCCGTGGAGAGGCAGGGAATGTCGGTGCCAGCTGGTTCCTGAGTGCCTGGATACAGGGTGGACGTGCAGAATGGTGACACCAGCCTCACATGCAACTGGAGGAGCACTGGACGCAGTTCAAGATCTCCCTGTGGTTCGTTTAGTTCTTAGGATCCCTTCCTCCTAGCCACACACAGCCAGCCACTGTTGTCTTAAGTAACTTGAAATAACTCTGCTCAGCTTGGCTACTACATTCTTGGGGTCATCTGGCTTTTGGTTGTAGGGATGACTTTTGTTACTTATTTTCTAATCACGGGCAAGAAAATATTAACATGGTCCGAAAGACAAGTCTAAGAAGCAAACGCATTCAGTCTAGTTTCCAGCTTCGTTCCCCTTTTACCCTAGAAGTGGGGTGGATTTGTTTTGGATTTGTATTGTTTTGGACTTGAAGCCTTCGATTGCCATTCCACCCCCAGCCCTTTGTGCTGTAGTTCATTTTTCAGAGTGCCTTGTGCCTTTGCCTCGGTCCAGCCCTGGACCATGATACCTACCTCTGCCTTCCCAATAGCTGGGACTGTAGGCATGAATCATCACACGCTGCCCCAGAAGTAGGTAGTTTTGCATGATTTTTTACTTAGCTTTCATGTATGTAAGGAGATGGACGTGTATTTCTTAAGTAAAAGGTAGCATATTAAACCCACTCCTCTGGCCTCTAGCTTTGGGCTTTCAACTTTCACAGTGTGTCCTGAGATCACACAGCAGAGAAAACCTGTATTCTGTAAGAACCCACAGCCGTGGAGGATGCGTCCTATGGATGGACACGTGGGGATTCCGGCCTCTGCCCTTTCAAGTGTGTCACTTGTCTTAGGTCAGCCTGCTTAGTGGGGTAGCTGAGCCGGAGGGTCCACACACGTGCGGGGTCTGCTGTCCGAGTCCAGCCGTGTCGTCTTGATCATAAGTCTGTCGTGGCTCTGGCCAGCCAGCTGCTCCTATACTTTAGAGGCTGAAGGAACGGTGGCACCAACCTCCCATAGCCTGGCATTGTTACTCCATCCCGTCACCCTCTGTGGCAACAGAGCCAGACTAATTTAGCTTCTCTCGTTTGAAATTTCAGCAAATCTCTTTATGAGTACTCCCAGGATTTCATTGTGTCACTTGTCCTAGGAAAGGATGTGATTCCCAGGTCAGTGTGCTGGAAGGTTGGTCTGGGGTTGGGATCACTGAAAAAAACCGAGTCCTGAGCCTCAGTGTGATCTTTTGCTAAACAGGTTAAGCGTGGCCAACATGGAAGATCTGAAGAAGAGAATCTTGCGCGTGATCTGTCAGTGTAACAAGCCTAAGGTAATCGGGTGCCAGGTCTACGGGGACTGCATGCCTAAATCTCCCGTGGCCTCTCGGCCCAGTACATTTTATGCTGTCACTTGAAGTCCTCCTTGCACCCTCTGAACGGATGTCTGTCTAGTACTTGGTGATGTCTGAGACAGCCGACAGCTAGGCCAGTTAGAAAACACTGTGACAGAACTAAGCCTTCTGCCTTGAGACTGGGTATTCAGAGTTTGATGAGGCCCTGGCACATCTGCCCTTAAAAAAAATGGTGATAGAGGCGTGGGAGCGCAACTCAGCGGAACAGCAGGTGTGAGACCCTGATTACAGTCTACAGCACCGCACCAGCATGCGAAGGAGAAACTTCCACGATCCAGTAACTGAGGTCCACGATGTACTGAAGATTTTAAAAGTGGGGAGGACTAGGGCTCTAACTTTGTGGTAAAACTCTTGCCTAGCATGCATAAAGTCCTGGGTTTGATCCCAGGCACTGCGAAAAAGAAAATTTTTAAAAGGGGTGTGTGGCGGGGGGAGGGGTGCTGCAGGAGGGAGTGGCCAAATGAACAAAGGGATGGAAGGTATGAATTGTGACAGAAACCTTGGAATCGTATCAAAGTATCAAAAGATGCTTTTATTTGAATATGGGATTACAGATGGTTTCCACTTGACCTGGTTTTTGTTGTTAACTCCTTTATCAGCTCTCCCCCAAACTTTAGACAGTATCTAATCGCAGGTAGGGCCGCCCAGTGGCAGAGCATGGGTCTACCGTGTACAAGGGCCTGGCTTTATTCTCCAGCAACACGCCCCCCCCCCCAAAAAAAAAAAGGAGAAAGAAAATAGTGTCTAATGTCCTAAAGGCAGAGTAAAGCTGATTTCCCAAAAAGAATTAAGTGTGATCTGGGCTGGGGATATGACTCAGTGGTACACTTCCTGCCTACCATGGCCTGATAAGGAGGTAATTTTTCACCAAAACATGCATGATTTGGTTTAAAATATTATGTCTTAATCGCCCAAGAGGTGCCGGCACACATGTGCCCATGGTTGGATGGACTGCACAGTCCACCTCGGGTCTCCATGGTGATGGCCGTGAACGCCTCACAGGACTGACCTTCTGTCGTCTTGGGTCTCACCCTCAGTACAAGATCTTGCTGCATGGCTGCTGGTATGAGCTGTTTGGCGGGAACCCCACTAACTTGCCAACTGAGCTGGACGGGGGCAGCCAGGGGGCCTTGTCGCAGCCTCTTCTGGGGGAGCAGAGTCTGCTGACACAACAGTCCCCATCCTACAGCTTCTCCAGTGACTCCCCCCTGGACTCTTGCCCCAAGTACCCACCTCTGTACCCTCCCGGCAGGATCATCCACCTGGAGGAGGAGGGCGCCACAGGGAGGTGAGTGTGGCACTGTGCAGTCTGTTGTGTCCATGCCTCACCCCCAGGGGCAACCAGTGCCCGTGCTGGAGGCCACCCCCGTGCCGCTCTGCTAGCTGGCCTCTTTCCTTTTTAAGGTTTGGCTGCTGTTCTGCTGCTCAGTACAGAGCGAGATGGTCACATGAAGCGGCATTCAGCAAAATACTCATAGGCCCAAAGATGCTGACGGACCACATGCCAGACATCCTGATGAAAGCCCTGGCCAGCGTGGTCGCGGACAGAGCAGCCTGCCTCTCCTGTCCCGGGCAAGGTGGCTCTGGTGTGGATGTGGTGTAATCAGGCCTGTGGGGAACTGTCCCAGAACCATGGGCTCACATAGTTGTTCTCCGAGTAACAAAGCGTGAGGGATTTCTGTGGAGCCAGGACAATACTGTCCACCAGCGGGAACCTGGACACCACGCAGCTCGATGGCTTCAAGCAATGCATAGTATTATTACCGGGCTCAGGATTCAGGGGAGAGCGCAGGGGGCATGGGAGTCGAGACAGCAATGGTGTTGCAAGCCCCCCGTGACCACCTGAGAACTGTCCTAGCAGGACAACAGTGTTGGAGGGCCCTAAGGGAATCTGTAGCCTCCCCCTCGTGGTCTTGCCCTGCCACTATTTGTCTTAAGTGTGAACTTAGATAAGTGTGCACTATTTGGGTTCCTCCTTCATCCTCAAATGAAGATGGAGGCAGGCCAGAAGGTAAGCAGGACTGCCCTACTCCTGAGCCCAGCGCTCCAGCCTCTTGTTTCTATGTGTGGGTGACTGAGGCCTCAGGTCATTGCCAGGTCCTATATTCTGGCTGAGGCCAGCCAGAGGGCTCAGGGGCACTTTAAAACAATAAAGCACTTCTACATCACCAGTGTCTGTATGTCGTTTTCAGGCAGCTCCACTGGGTGGGTTTAGAGGAATCAGGTTTGAAGTGGTTTTTCCTGTCTACTGTGAACAAAAATGCAATGAAGCTTGTTTCACATTCTGGATAACTGAAGATCGCATGGTACCAGCTTTCAAAGGGTTTCTCTAAAGCGTAAGCTTACCACGGGGTGAGAAAAAGAAGTGCAATGAACATGGCTCAGGTGGTGGAGAATGAATCCCAAGGGCAGAGGAGGAGCGCTAACCTGGCTCCCGGGCCGGCACCTGCTGGGTGCTGTGGGTCAAAGTGGTGCTGGAGGAAACCTGGCCCCTCCTGTGGGGGCCACACCAGCAGCGGAAGGAAGGAGTGACCATCCTTGGCTGCTCCCACTCCCTGACCTTCAGGACTGGAAATATGACCTCAGGAGAGGCCTTCTGTCACTGTCACAGAGGGATCCAAGCCTAGGTGGCCAAACCTGTAACCCCAGTGCTCAGGAGTAGTTCAGGGCCAGCCTGTGCTACACGAGCTGCAAGGTTCCCTCTAAACACAATTCCTGCACCTCCCTGGTGCGGTTTTCAACCTGGGCCTTAAGCACAACCCATCAGGCACAGGAGGAACGAGACCCACAGCCGCAAAGGCACGCGAGCACAAGCTCCAAATGATTCCCGTTGCTCCTGGAGCAACCACAAAACTCCCAAGAGGCTGACAAATAGAGTGAAGAGAACACCTGAGAAGTGAAAACATGAGCTAAAGAAAGCATTCCATGAGGTCAGATACGACAGTTCTAGAAAGAACAGAGAATGGAGACTATGCATTTCCAGATGCAAAGAGCCCATCAAGTGCAGAGCACAGCTAATGGGGAAAAAAAAAAAGCCAGGACCTGGAGGACAAAAGGAAACCTCAGCGTTACAAACAAAGCGTGTCTTCGTGCAATGGAAGAAGTGTCTTCAGCTGGCTAGATGCAGCCAATGTCACATAGGAGAGAGGTGTCCTCAAAGATGGAAGTGCTCAAAAGCTTAACTTCCCATTTTCAGAAAACCAAGAAGATCATCAAACTGAAGCAAGCAAATCATGAGTTTGGAGTGCAGAAGTAAAATGCAAACTCGTGAGAAGTCGGTCGGGTGATTCTGAGGCTTAGGAAAGTGAAAGGCACCAGATGGATGTTCAGCTGAATTATTAGTAAGTACACCCAAAACTAAGCAAGTCAAGCATGAGCCCAGAGAAACGAGAGGTGCAGGAAAGGCACGCCACTGCAACCCACGGCCATCACGGATGCTGACCACTCACTGCACAGAGGATGTCACTGAAATGGGGTAACCAATGGCTGAGAAAGTCAACTAGCAAGAGAAGCACATCAAACTGAAGCAAGCAAATCATGAGTTTGGAGTGCAGAAGTAAAATGCAAACTCGTGAGAAGTCGGTCGGGTGATTCTGAGGCTTAGGAAAGTGAAAGGTAATAGTACCTTTTAAGATTTAGGCACCAGATGGATGTTCAGCTGAATTATTAGTAAGTACACCCAAAACTAAGCAAGTCAAGCATGAGCCCAGAGAAACGAGAGGTGCAGGAAAGGCACGCCACTGCAACCCACGGCCATCACGGATGCTGACCACTCACTGCACAGAGGATGTCACTGAAATGGGGTAACCAATGGCTGAGAAAGTCAACTAGCAAGAGAAGCATAAAATTTACACAAGAGGAGGAAAACATCACAAATTACACTGGAATTGTTGCTTCTGGGGGGTGGATTGCTGTTTTTGTAACACTTTAAGGAGTGCTTCTGATTTTGGACTGGAGTGTGGCTCAAGTGCTAGAGTTCAATCTCTAGTACTGCAAAAAAAAAAAAAAACGGGTTTTTTTTTTTTTTTTAAGTCTGAACTCAAGGGTCTCGCACATCCTAGGTAAGCACCGTACCACTTGACCCATGCCACCTAGTTCTTTTCACTTTTCAGATAAGGTCTCTGCCAAAAATACCTGTGTTTTAACCTGCTTATTTACCTTAGGTAATAAAGACTTAAAAACACAAGGATTAAGGAAAACTGATTTTTTTTTTCCCCCCAATACTGGGGCATGAACTCAGGGCCTACACCTTAAGCCACTCACCATCCTTTTTTTTTTTTTTTTTTTTTTTTGAGATAAGGTCTCAAGAACTATTTGCCCAGGCTGGCTTCGACCTGAGATCCTCCTGAGTAGCTGGGATTACAGGTGTGAGTCACCAGCACCTGGCAAGAAAACTGATTCTAACAAACCACTTTGTACAGAACAAGTTCAGGGTCCAGAAAGGATCTCAAGGTCACCTTGTCTACCCTGCCCCTACCCCTGAACACAACCCAAGGCTCTCAGCAATGCACTGGGGGGGGAGGGGGAGCAGGGGTGCACACACTCCAGCAGATGCACACACCCAGCATGGATACCGCCACGTGAGCATCTCGCAACAAGAGGATAGGCCCAAACACGAACCACATCCCCACCCCACCATGCTGTGTGGCCGAGGACTTGCCCGCCTTGTCCCTGGAGGTGGCACTCCCTGCTCGTCCCTGCAGTGTGGAAATGAACATCTCCAACGATGCAGGATTCAATGAGGCAAACAGAGCACATACACCGGGAGCTGGCTCACAGCTCTCAAAGACTCAAGTATGACCAGTCGTGTGATTCAAGGATTTATTAAGTCATACATGCAAAACATACCGCTAACTGCATTAGCAAAAGATCAATGTAAAAACACTCCACAATTCTGCAACTGTCAATTTAAAAACTTGGTTCTAGTGGTTGAGAGGTCCAACACTGTTCTTGCCAGTGAGTTAGGTTGTACAGAACATGGTTAGCACTAGCAGTTGACAGAACCTCACAGACCCAAAGGGACATTGTTAGGCAAAGCCACAACGGAAGCGTGTCTGTGCGTGTGAGGTGGAGAGGGCCAGCATTAGTCACATGACAGTGTTGGTGATCTGGCAATACAGTGGTGTTAGGAAGGTTTGTAGTTTGAGAATATCTAAAATATTTTAAAAACCGTAAAGCTGCAACACATCATTTTTACGCTGTTACTAGAAAACTAAGGAAAGCACTTAGTAGCTTGAATAATGTGAAAACAGGAGTGCACTTTTACCAATCTACAAAAAAAAACTTCTAATGCATTATCAGAAAGATTTTATAGTACAAGAGAGGCATATTGCTCATTAGGAAGGGGTTCGCTAAGAAAAGCTTACTAAGTTAGCAACTATGGGAGTGACCAGTTCAGGTGAGTTAATTAAACACCCAATTTGGGACGTGTAGGAAAAAGGAAAAGCTTGAGAAAAGACACTGATTACGCCAACCTTTCTTCAGCATCTACTGCAATTGACAGAAATTAACCTTTAAAAACCTTTACCCGTGACACTTTTATTCAGTTGAATTATTCCATTATACAATGTAGTGTAAATTGATCTCCACAGTTAGGTAATGAGCACCGGCTGGGCAGGCCGGGAAGTTACTGCCGAGTTACATGGCAACATTTCGTCAAGGAGGCCAGCTGCTCCACACCTCTGAAAATTACCCGGACAGTGCTCGCCTCCTGCCGCCAGGAGCTGCAGTCTTCGTAAAGACAAGGAAGGGTCTTTCAGCAGTTTCGTGCTTAGTGTTCTCAGCACAACACAACTTAAGTTCAGAAGGTATTTTGGCAACTCTTAATCTGAGTAAGAATAGGGGCTTTTGAAAAATAAGGCTTTAAGAAGGTTTGTCATTTTAGGGGTAAATTTTAATAGAACGGAGTTTGAGCTTTTACATTTAAAACAAAACCTTAAAATTACTGATTGGTTCAAAATGGTTTTATGGAAAAATTAATCTGTAACAAAAACTTGGCATTGAGTGCGAAGGCTCCACTTTTTTTTGAGCAAAGCGTACAAAGATTCCAAGGGACAGGACCAAGAATGAGGAACGAGGGACATTTACAACAGCAGGCATTTTCTCTTCCTCTTCTTGACGGGTGGTGGGCAGAGAACTGCTCGGATAGCTTCATCAAACACTGTCTTGAGACCTCGCTGTGTGAGAGCAGAGCACTCCAGGTATTTTACAGCACCTGTAAGGAACGGCCACACAGCAACTGATACTTGACCAACTCTCTTCTGATCAGAACACCAGCAAGAGGCAGCTCCCCCAGACCTCACACCTTTGCCCACCCCTCACAACTTTGCCCGAAGTCTCGGCTCTGCCACCTCCCAAACACTGACGCCATGCCCCAGAAGGGCCTGGCTTAGCTGCTTCCCCCAAAGCAAGCCGGACCCCATGCTGGAGAAGCACGCTAAAGTGCCCAGATTGGACTCCAGTCTCCGCCACTAGACAGCAGATATTGAGAAATACAGGATTTCCTAGCATTCACCCAAAAAGGAAAAGAAAAACAAACAGGCTTCATACCAATCTCCTTAGCCATGGCTAGCCCCTGAGGGTAGGTGATGGGAGTCAGCTTCTTCTCCTTCAGCTTCTCGATCGTGTCTTTATCATCCCTAAGATCAAGTTTCGTTCCCACAAGGATGATGGGGGTGTTGGGACAATGGTGTCGCACTTCCGGATACCACTAGATTTAGGAAAGGAACAAGACTGTACCACTCCTCCACGTAGTCGCCTTTGTCTACGTTACCCGCAGCAGGTGCCGAACAGCAAAGAGCCAGCCCCAGAGCCTCACGCGTGTCACCTTCCCTGCAAGCCATAAAGGCCCATAAGGAGCATCCCAGCTAGCCAGGACTCCAAGACAAAGGCAATACAGAACAAGCTCTGCTGACACAAAACAGGAGGAAGGAAAGGGATGGGGGAGAGGAAGAGGGAAGCATGGAAAGTATCCCAAAAGGAAACCACTTTATTCTGGAGAAAACAAGTCCAAGTCTTAGGCCATCTCAAAAATTCATCATCATTTCAGGGCAGACCACTTAGGGAAGTCTCAGCTCTGCCACCACTGTCCCTACTGAAGATGTCCCAGACCTCCACAACAGGGCTCTCACTCGTTTTCACTAAGTCAATGAAAGACACCAGAGTGGAAAGAACTGGTCACCAGACCAACCCCCAAATGCATGTTGCTCTAAATGAGACCCAAAGCTGTAAGTCTATATCCTAAAGCCATATACTTAAAAACTGACTATATACCTAAGTAGTAAAACTACTAAAACCAAAAGAAATGACTGAAAATCCCTAGCAGTAAATGGCACTTCATATTTTAGTATTTCTGAGAGTATAGTTACACACTGTGTAACTGTATTTTTTAATCCCCACTCACCTTTGCACGGACATTTTCAAATGATGCAGGACTCACAAGGGAAAAGCAAATTAAGAATACATCCTGCAAAAAGCAAACACAGAGAAACACTCAGAGGAAGACCTAAAATGATGGACACACTGTGCTTTCTCAATGCTGCTCAGAAAGTCACAGGCGTGTGTGTTGTGTGCCCGCTGGTACAGCAGCTGATGTCACACGCTTGCTCCCATTCGTCCCTCCAGCTGGCTGCCAGTCGGCTCCCAAACCAGAAGCAGCGGATCAAGCAGCCAGTGACTTGTGAGGAGGAGAGGAAGAAGCATGCTGGAAGCATCAGGTCCAACCCCTGGGACGCCTCTTCCAGCACACGCAGCTCTCCGCGTGCTACAGGAGAGCCACAGCTCTGATGTGGTGTTCCAACACTTTATACAACACGGCTCTCGGCCTCCCAGAAGCAGTCAAACAACCCTTGTCTACAAGCGATATGCCTTTCACTAAGCTCTCTCCTTGCATGTTCAGCTCATCACCAGCTCCACTTACACTGCTTCTAAGTCCCTGGCACAAAGGGAGGGCTCAAGCATTTGCTGCCTGCCCCTTCTTCCCCCTCCCTGGGAGCTCAGTGTGGAAGTGACACCTTCCTGGATGACAACCACCCTGGCACTGTCACAGCTTCTCAAGTACAACCAGGGCCTCTGGAGAACTTTGCCCATATTGCAGCTGTGCCTAAAGTGTAGGTGCAAAGGAACAGCAATGCAGAATACACACTTGGAGAAAAAAGTCTGGTAAATATTTTTCTTCCTATCTGATACTGTGCACAAAGTAAAAGTCAAGCAAGTATTCACCTGTACAAAAAATGCCCAAGAGTGTTTTTTGTTTTGCAGCACTGGGGTTTGAACTCAGGGCCCCACGCTTGCTAGGCAGGCGCTCTACCACCACTTGAGCCACTCTGCCAGCCCTGTTTTTTTGTGATGGGTTTGTCAAGATAGGGTCTCTTGAAATATTTGCCTGGGCTGGGTTTGAACTTTGTTCCTCCTGATCCTGAGTAGCTGGGATTACAAGTGTGAGCCATCATTGTCCAGCTAAAATGACAGGCTTATAAAACATCACTACAAAAGACTAGCATGCTACTCTGTGAAGTGCACGAAATTCCCAAGCCAGCTGGTGTTTTCAACCATCCAGCTGGCATCTTGTACCTGGAAAGGAAAGAAACATCACACACAATAGCCTTTTACAATGACATTGTTTAAATGCTGGCGCATGCACAAGCGTGTCCAGGAATCACAAGGCTTCCCAGATCCAAGTTGATCCGAACCCTCTCAAAGCACAGTTGGGTTAGCTCACCAGCACTGTACAGCCGCCCAGACAGCAACCACAGGAACACCACAGCACAGACAGAAGGCCTGGCAGCAAGGTTAGTCCTGCCCCGGCTCAGCACAGCCACCCACAGCAACTCCAGGTGGATTGTCCACACGTGTGCGGAGGGTCTCCACTAGCCCCTCCTGTCACTTGGGAGAAGGGAGCAAGCAGTTCATGAACTGCTTCAATCAAGCTGGCAGGTACACTGTCACACTCCAATGAGAGCGATTTCATCAAGCCATACCCCACACCTTGAGTGAATGAAATACAAACACTCAAGGAACTTGAGGCTCAGTAAGATTCCTAGGCAAACTAGTGAGACGAAAGAACAGACAGAGCTGGAGACTGAAGTCGATTCAAAGTCTTACATACGGCAATCGGCTTGTCTTTGCCCCTGGAGGTTATATCCTTACCATACGAGTCTCCGACCTAGTAACGCATGAGAACTGTGTGAGTTCAGTACAAATGAGGAAAACACAATCAGTAACCTGTTACTTCCTGTTACAATCCTGCTCAACCCTCCCAAGAATTCCAAAAGCATAGAATGACCTAACACATCCTCAATGCCAAATGCCACCATCACTCCATGAGAGCTGGCAATTCAGCAATGGTGAAGTCAGGCAAGTAACAACGGCACTGCTTCTTCCTATGGCAGCACTTGCCAGAAGGTAGCACACAGAAGCTGGAGATGTTCAGTGTCCCTGATCATAAAAACCTGCTCATGTGCTACCACAACAGACACATCTTCAAAGGGTGCTTCCTGAGAGGGCACTTCCTGTAAGCCACACCGGAGGCTGTCCCAGAACACTGCGGGCCCTGACGGTAGGTAGCAAGACCATGCTGTCCAAGCATCAAGTCTCCTACCAGGAACTGTTTCCATCTTCCTCCTGGTTCTGGAGTCTAGTTTGGATTTACAAACTGGGAATTACTGACACGAACAGTGTTATTCAAACTTAGGGCCTCCAGCCCCTTTACAGATTTGGTGAGGCCACCCCTTAGTGACAAGACTAAGAAGTGACATTTCCAGTGTTCTTCACAACACTTTCATTTCTTTGTCAAAATAAAAATCAGCAGACCACTCTCCCAACACAGAACCCTGAAATTCTTCTAAGACAAAAGCAGATGAGGAATTAACTTCATCTCACTCAAGCTTCTCTGATTTGTAATTCGTAGTTCGTTTCCATGACTACTCAGGTTCATTCAACCTGCGGGCTATCTTTTAAGATCTGATACCAGGCCAAATCTTTCTTATGATATAGACTCACTGAAAGCAACCTCAAGCACATGACTTCCAAATATCCAACTCTTGAATTTTGAAGGACATTTTTTTGATGGAGAACAGACATGGCCAGGAGTTAACACAGCTCCACCTCCCACCCTGTGTGAGCATTACGCCATCTGCCTGTTCCTTCCTTGTTCCTCTTTCTTCCCCCGGCCTAAATATAGCTTTCACAAAACATGCCTGTACTTCTGATGCTTGTTTTCTGCCATCATTTCCTCCAACTTCGCTTTCCTGACACCACCCCACATGAGGCATGCTAGCCCACCTTGGCTAGGAGTCTGTTCCTCCCTGTCCTTGTCACACTCAGTGAACACTCCCCAAGAACCCCTATCTCCCTTCCAGGTCTCTCTGGCTTTCTCACAGGTCATTGGAGTGTCAATGGGCCATCTTTCCTGTAGACTGGAACACTACTTTTCCTCAGATCACTAAGACATTTCTAACCAGACCAGATGCCCGATGTACCCTTCATGACCATAATGAGTCTTCAGTGAGTTTGTCACAAGCCACTTCCTCCTCACTGATCAAAAGTACAGCCAGAGCAGTCGGACCTTCTGCCCCTGTCTGCCAGCAGTGCAGTCACACGGCGGGTCACTTTTAGTGGAGTGAGACTGAGCAGAGGTATAGATGGCTGAAACATCAGCACTTCAAAAACATCGTCATTTCTTTCGTTTTATTCTTTTCAAACTGCTTTCTACCTGCTTGCTTATTTTCAGGGCTGGATTTCTTTTTTTTTAATTAGGCCTCTTATGCACAGGGAAAAGGATCAGGGTGTGCCTACTATACATGGCAGAGAACAGGCAGAACTAAAAAAAGCTGGACACATGTCACCAGTGAGGTTCTTCTAAGAAAACCAGCTGAGAAAAAAAGGCACCCCTGGTATCCGGGAACAAGCCTGTTACCACCACTTCACTACCATCAAGGTGTACGTGCTGAACAGACTTCAGAGCACAGACATCAGACCCGCCTGCATGTGACCATGCTGAAACAGAATCAAAAGTAAATAAAACGTAAAAGACCATTTCATCATATTCTCTAAGCACAAATGAACACAAAGTTGCCGTGCAAACTACAAAGACTATCTGTACTCTACCCCATCCAGCACAAGCAGTCACCTCTTTTTGTTTTGGTGGTTTTTGGTGGTACGGGGGTTTAAACTCAGGACCTCATGCTTGCTAGGAAGGTGCTCTCCCACTTGAGCCACTCCACTAGCCCTTTTTCTATTTGAGATAGGGTCTCTCCACTTATTTGCCTGGGCTGGCTTCTAACTGTGATCCTCCTGATCTCTGCCTCCTGAGTAGCTGGGATTACAGGTGTGAGACACTGGCACCTGGCTGTGCAGTCACTTCATTACCAATAACTTTAGCCTGTCTTCATTCCTTCACCTTCCAGATAAGAATTCCTAAACTGCAATCCCAGAGTACTCTGCTTCACAGAGTATTCACGCAGAGCAAACCTGTCCTATTTTGAAACTCACCTCCCACCCAATCACACAACAGCCCTAGGAGCATGTCCCTCATGGCAAAGAGTATTAAACCCAATTCTTTTTAACTACAGGTGTGTTCCTAGTACCTCTGGCTGGAGGACACTGACACTTCTAACAGCTAATGTAACAACACTGAAGCCTTCTGAAAATCAGAACTGTCAGCTCACCAGTGTGGTTCTCTTCTTATTCAGTGACACAGCAGTCTAGCCCAGAGTTTAAAAACCTTCCAGTTGGCACACAATGAAGATGAGAAAACAATGGCACAACATGCTGGGGTCCTGGCCTACCTGAACCAAGGCCCAGCATCTCAGCACACAGACTGTTGTCTGGACAGACACCACAGAGCACAAGCCTTGGGCCATTAAGATGCTGGGCTTGAAATCACACTGCTCCACCTTCATTTTGAGCAACCAACCAAAGATGAGCACACAGAGCTTACAAAACACTGTTGGGCTGGACAATGGCTCTATTGGTAGAGCACCTGCCTAGCAAATCCGAGGCCCTCAGTTCAAACCCCAAAATTGCAAGACCCAAAAAAAAAAAAACCCACTGTCAAGGGAAAACGAAGAGAACTTACTGAAGGATAGACAGGCCCTATGGATGGCTTAATTTGAAAAAATTAAAACTTAAAGGGCAATTTCAGCTGAAAATGATCACTACCTGCCCACAATTTTTGGAGAATAAAACAGAAACCAATAGTTTCAACTGATTTAACTTGGTCACACAGAACTACCCAAGAGAGAAAGATGCTGCAACTAAATGACCACAAGAAGTTAACAGCTCTTTTTCGGGCACCCCAAACAAGAACTCTTCTGTCTACCCTTTGGAAGCGGGTCTGAGCACAGTCTTGAATAAGCCACATAAACAAGCCTGAAGTACAAAAGCCCAAATTGGAGACCCCGGTCCCTCAGCACAGAGTTCACAAGTTTCTCCTTTGTCAACAAGAGACCAAGAAAGGTGCCAGTCTATAAGAACCAGGCCCACTCCTCTAGGTAGGACAGTGTGGCCCCAGTATCTGAGCATTTGGGACCTGCCCCTTAACTGCCAAAATAAACTTTCTTAACCCCAAGGAGTCCAGGGAGGCATGCCTTTAACTGCCAGCCGGGTGCTTTCCCCTTTCTGCTCCTTAAGCACCCCACTTCTCCTCCCCAGTATGGGGACATGGTATACTACAGTCACCCACAGTTATGACTTGCTTCCTTCTTGCTACTCAGGTATTTTATAGGGAAACAATCCACCACCATACATAGATAAACTAAGAAGTTTAAGTCGTTAACCCATGAGGACACACCCATGCTGATTTCAGGCCTCACATCCTACAGCTTCATTCAATCTGAGAAGAGTCCGAAGTATTTATCTGTGCTCCTCAGCACACAGAGTGGGACAACTGCCAAGTCACCTTTGACTTACAGAATGACTCCCTTAGAGAAAATGGCCTCACCCTTCACTGTACCCTCTGAGTCACAGTAGGTGGCTATGATTTCTCAGAAGTGATACCACACCCTTCCAGATTTATCCAGATGTATCCGGTGGGTTGAAGACTCCTACTGTACCAATCACTGTGTTCTGAAATTCACTTAAAATCTGAAATTATCCAATACTCCTGGGTATAGGACAATCTCCCAAGATAGTAAAAGAATTTTAATTTGGTGATTATGGGCTGATTTTAAATACTTTATCAGTTAATTCTCAGCTGAAGATAAATTGAGAAACCACCCAACCCGAGTCTCCCATATTGTAGCTCTGGTGTCTATTTAGCACTGCTAACTAAAGTTCAACCAAAAGACATGAGCTTTCTACAGACCAAAGAGACTGCATGTGACAACACTTCCAGCAAAAGCGAAATGTACATGGCAGTGATGGCTGGCAGGGAAAGATGCATTCAAAAGTGTGCAACTCTCAATAAGGTGAAAGTTCCATAGAAAATACAAAAGCAAGACTATGGTAGAGTGGAGCTGATTACTGTCACTCATACCACCTGGTAAGGCAAAGTGAAGCATGAGTAGATGAAGGTTGCCCCACCAGTCAGGGCTCAAAGCCATTTCCCTGAGCCTACCAGGATCCACAGCCAACGCTGGTTGCAGCAACTTTTCTGCTCATCTAAGCAGAACTTGGAACTGAGGCGCTTCTAGACTACTAAAGTCTTCAACAAGAATTAAAAGCACCAGTGGCTCACACATGTAGTTCTAGCTAATTGGGAGGCAGAGATCAGGAGGATCACAGTTCATGGCCAGCCTGAACAAACAGTTCTTGAGACCTCCATCTCTAAAATAACCAGAGGGAAATGGCCTGGAGGAGTGGCTCAAGCAGCAGAGTGCCTGCTTTGCAAGTATGAAACCCTGAGTTCAAACCCCAGTTCCACCAACAAAAAAAAAAAAAATGAAGATGAATGTGAACAGCAGCTAAGGCTAGAATGTATGCAGTATGCTGGGGACTGTGCTGCGTGTGCTTCAGTAACTCTTCCAATCCTAGGAGCAGACAAGGCAGCACCAGACCCATGAAAACTGCTTAGGGCTGCACAGCTAGTAGATGGGAGGGCAAGGTCTGAACCCAGGAAATGTGCTCTGCCACCAATCCTACATCTTTCAGTTCTGGGGACTGAACTCAGAGCCTTGGGCATGCTAGGGAAGTACTCTCCCACAGCTCCCAGCCCTAAAATACACTTTTTAAAAAGAAGACATATGTATAAAGATAAGAAAATGACATACAAGCAGTGCGCTAGTGGCTCATGCCTGTAATCCCAGCTATTCAGGAGGCAGAGATCAGGAGGATCAAGGTCCAAAGCCAACCCAGGCAAATAGTTCGGAAGACCCTATGTCGAAAAAACCTTCACAATAAAGAGCTGGTAGATGTAGGCGCTGACTGAGTTCAAGCCCCAGTACCACAAGAAAAAAAAAAAAAGAGAAACAAAATGACATACCTATGATAACTAGCTGCTATTTAAAGAAACAGGCTTCTAATCATCCCGCTGTCTCTGAACACCCACCCTTCTGGACAACTACTGATCTAATGAGCCTTCGGAAGTGACCAATCCTTACTTGTCTCATACAGAAGCAAAACTCATCTACATTTTCTTCTGACTGGACACAGAGGACAGTTTACAAAACTGAAGCCTCAATCTACACTGAAAAGACTTAGATACTGAAGCCACAGAATTCTGTGCTTCACAGAAAAGAATAATTACTAACTCAAGTTTAAAGAAACCCTAATGTTAACTGTTTAATTTGATTCTGAGGGCAAAACCACCTCAAAGCAAGCCATCTTCAAACTACTGTTAAAAACTGGTTTACAGCTCTTGGTGACATTAATTACACATTCACAAAAACTGTATATTCTAAGAAACGCATTAAAACTCAGTTGTGATCCTTACTGTTTGCGGATAGGAGAGGGGGCGTAGTCTGTCGTAATCTTCTTGTCCAGCTGTATCCCACAGGCCCAGATTCACTGGTTTTCCATCTACCATAACATTGGCAGAATAGTTATCAAAGCTGCAGAATGGAATCAGAATGGTTAGTCACAGACATGGGACCAAAGTTACTGTCCCAGCATCAACCAAGAGGAGGTGTGCTGCAAAGGCAGAGGAACAGACCAAGACCGGGAAGCTGCCAGGCCAGGAAGTGCCCCTGAAGCCAGAGGAGAGCCTGGGGTGAGAAGGCAGCAGGCTGAAGCAACCAGCCAGGAGCACAACTTGAGAAAGAAAAATGCCTGGGAACCAAAGAACAAGCTACTAAATTTAAGTGAAACAAACTACTGTCTGCAATGGAAAAATAAATCAATCTTTGCCTTTAACAAGAGATTTTTTTTCTCCCTAGGAAAATACAGTGTGGGATTAGTCCCTCTTTCAAATCCCACCTGGAGTTTCCCAAGTTCCTATTTTATTCATTTTCCAGAAGGCATGCCTGAGCATAGGGTGGTATTGGGCAGTCTTATTCACACTGCCTGCACCCCAAGTGCAGTGGTGACACAAAACACACCTGCTTTTAGAAGCCACCCATAAAGCTTTCAAAGACTTCAAGTTGCTACACGTCCATTAGTTAGCTATAGGAAAAAGCAATTGAGAAATGCCCAGACTGACAAGAGGAAATAAGGCTGACATTCTCCAAATGCTCCTGTCATTGAGGGGTTAACTAGAAATAAAAATCTTAAAAAAGCATGGCAATTTAAACTAAGGCAACTACCTTAATATACCAATCTTTAAGATAAAAGTCAAAGATTAATTTTTATGTACTTGTGACACTAAAGCTGCAGAGTTATAATACTGTGAGGACAGTCAAGACATAAGGTTCCAATGTGATTTATGAAATTTTATGACCAAACTAGCTTCATAAAGAAAAAGTTTAACAAAAGAAAGAAAAAAAAAAAAAAAAAAAAGAAAGAAAAGGTTTAGTCAGGCATGATGGTACATTCCTGCTAATCCCAGCCCTATAGAGGCTAAAGCAGGAGGACAGAGTTTGAGGCCAGCCTGGGCTACAGAGCCAGACCCATCTCAAAAAACAAAAACAAGGGAGAAATAACCCAAACATTGTATGCACATATGAATAAAAGAAAAAAAAAAAAGCCTTGATGAATGTGGTAATTCTGCCTCCACGGGGAAAGGACAGATTATTCAGTAAGTGGTGTTCCCTCCCTAGAGAAAAAGAATCAGATGCTTGCCTCATACTCTACCAAAAATGAACTGAAGATAAAAACTTCAGCATAAAAACCTGGAAGAGACTGTTCTTGCTTCATGAAGTAGGAATGTCCTTCCAAAGCACAATAGAACTCTGGGGTGGGAGAGATAGCATTATTTACATAAAAATGTTAAACTCTAAACCGAAGAAGAAACCGTACTGAAGTTTAAAGACAAACCAGAGACAGATAGAAGGGAATACCATTTTTTTTTATTTATAAGAAGTTCCATCAGTATGTAAAAATTTCAATAGGAAAATAAGCAAAAGATTTTGACAGACAACTCAAAGGAAACTACAAATAGTGAAATTCAAGACTTTACACCTCACTAACGATCAGAAATATAAATGAGGAGGTAACTTCTGTCTGCATCAAAGGGCCACAACAGTCACAGCCAGAAAAGTGACAGTCTTTTGGATGGGTGTTGGGAATAGAAGCTGAGTACCCCTTACCCAAAATGGGTAGAACCAGAAGTGTTTCAAACTTTGGGTTTTTTTCAGATTTTGGAATATCATTATGTACGGAATGAGGTATCATATAGCTTACTACACATAATTCTGGAGATAATTTTATGCTATTTTAGATAATTTTGTGCATGAAACAAAGTTTCATGGCATGGAGTTTTCTCCTTGAGGCATCATGTCAGTGCTCAAAAGATTCAGAGTTTGGAACATTCTGGATTTCAAATTTTCTCATTAGGGATGTTCAACCTGTACCTACCAAAATTTAAAAGTCCCACTCTGTTTTGATTCGGCACAACTGACTTTTAACACAGCACTGTTTGCAATGCAAAAAAAAAAAAACAACCAAACAAGACCCAAGTGACCTGTAGTATAATCATATAATCATTTACAGTTCTTTAAAATCAACAAGCATTAATGGTTTAAGCTCAATCTACACATGTAGATAGAGGCACCTGCATAAATGCAGGGCAATGGCAAATGCTTCTACTGATTTTCTAAAATGCACATCACTCCACAGAGCATCCAGTGAGTGTGCTGTGCTTGCACAAGGCAGGACTTGACAAGGTTCCTCTCCGTTCACCTGGGCAGCACAGGATACAGACATGAAGACAGAGAGGACAGAACTCACTGCAGCCACAGGGCAATGGTTATGTGGCTTGACTCCCAAGGCTCCCTGGTAACCATCATCAGAAAAGCACCTCTCCTTCTCCACCCACCTTTGCTGCCTACAGGGAACAAATAGCCCAGCAGCCCATGGTGTCAACTCTATCGCCCTGCAATTCTTTGTTACAGGGAACCAAAGGATGACTTGTCAGAAAAAGCCAATGAAAACCTAATGTAATACTCATGCTCTAGTTCCCAGTCTAATTCACGGGAAACACTCACACTGGCAAAAACTGTCTCTGGCTGAATTTTATTGGGCTTTTAGCAAGCACTGGTTTGGTTTTTGTTTTGTTTTGTTTCTTTGCAGTAGTGGGACTTGAACTTAGGGCCTACACCTTGAACCACTCCACCAGCACTTTTTGTGTTAATTATTTTCAAGATTTGGGGGGGGAGGGGTGTCTCTCAAACGATTTGACTAGGCTGGCTTTGAACCATGATCCTCCTGATCTCTGTCTCCTGAGTAGCTGGGATTAAAGGCATGAGCCACTGGCGCCCCACTAAGCTCTGGTTTTCTTATACTATCCAGCCTCTACACTTCGTGATTAGTTTAACTTGGTATAAAAAAACTGTATTAAGTTGACTTAAGGATTTTTTTAACGCCCCAAATACCTTACAATTTGATTCCAATCCATGTCTGAGAGGAAAAGCAAATACCAGTTCATGTAAGGATTAAGAAGGATTTCTTAGTAAAACACACAGCCAAAGGAGTCAGAAACACATACAAGAGACAAGTAACTCTGAAGTCAGGTGACGATACTTACACGGTGGGGATGTATTCTCCAGGAAACGCATTGGTGGTGTAACTGATCAGTAGGCAAGTTTTACCTACAGCTCTGAAAGAAGAGAAAGAAAAAGCCGCTTAGTCAACGTGAACAGAATCCTAGCTTTCATTACAGTGTGACAATAACTTCTAGAGACTCCAAGAACTGTACATACCACATTCTTAAGAGTAAACCATCAGTTTCTTTAACATTCATTTTAACACTACACATAAATTTTAAAACTGAAATTCAAAGTAAACAATCTAGAATTTCTCGGACAGATTTGGGAGCCATCTGATTCTATTAGCATAGGTGGCATGAGCATCAAAAGTCGAGGAACAGTTTCAAACTTCAAGTCTCTTTTGTGAACATTCATAGAAGTCTTTCAGCCAACAGTGTGAAGAGCAACCTTCAAAGTATTCTGACTAATATTACCGTGCAAACAGCTTGCCTCTGCAACTTGTGTTTTTACTTAAGTACTGACTATATGCTGCCTCTAAGCTGCACGGCCCTAACCCCCATCATCCTGCTATCACCTTCCCCTCTGACAATCGGTCATGACTGTGCTCTTACTGGAGTGCTTAGTCAATCAGCCACCACACGACTTCTCACACCAATGCATCTGCCCCCAATTTCAAGTTACCACAAGTTTTCAAAGCAGAAGTTAACAAAGTATGTTCTAGACATTAATTAATGGCTCAGAGATGGTGGAGTAAACTTCCCACACAGCCACAAAGAGAAAGCAAAGGAGAACAGAGGTGCACGGCCTGCATGGCTGGTAACAGGTGCAGACTGCATTACCAGTGTGCCATCAGGCAGAAGTCAGAGTGGGAGTTCAAAGTCTCCCAACCACTCCTAAGTTTTCCGGAGAATATTCCTAAAAATTAAAGAGCAATGCACCATTTGTAAGGGAAAAAAAAACAAGTGTCTATATTGGCTTGGGGCTGTCACTCAAGAGCAGAGCGCTTACCTAGCATGCACTGGGCCCTGGGATGTATCCACAGGACTGTAGCCCTCCCCCCCCCAAAAAAAAAAAAAAACAACCCAAAAGACCTAAGTGTCCATATTTCACAGCATTCATGGTGGACTTCAAGGGCTTCCGAGTCCTTGGCCTCCTGGGTGCTCCATTCACCAAATGCTGGCTGTAATAAGCCAGCTCCCTGCTGTCTTCCACTGGTTTACCAAGGTTAAGATGACACGCTGGGTTGATTTGTCAGATTTTGCTGTTCACTCTCAGGGACTACAAGTATTCGCCATCAAGAACGCAAAGTGTTTTTCTTTTTCCCTCACTCTTAAACTGAGAGGAGAATGTCTCAACAAAAGCAGGTTACAGGCCCACTTAGTCTTGCCAGTACTTGTTTTACTCATAACATTAAGGGCTTAACAAAAGTTGGAACTTTCCACCCCTGAGACCTCACAGTCAAACATTACATCATCAGGAGGTAACTTCCAATTCCTAAAGGCTTTGTAAACAAAAATGACTCATTGGACATACATTTTGTGAAAGGCTTAGAATGTCAAAATAAAGCTGTATGAGCAAGAGCCTAAGATTTGCAGTCAGAGGCCACCTCTTTCTCATTTGCTTTTTTTTTTTACATTTTGGCAAGTCTCAGCTTCCTCATATGCCTCAATTTCTCACACAAAATGGATGCAAAACTACCACCTCCTTTACCAAACTACTGTGAACATTAATTCCATTTCATTTTTCTTTTTGAAGTAGTAGAGACTGAACTCAGGGCCTTGAGATCTACCACCCAGTCCTCAAGTTCAATTTGTACAAAGTGTGTGCTATGCAAGGTACTAGTTGCTAAAGATCCTGTAATGAGCAAGACTTCATGGAGTATACGCAGCTGTTAAACTGAAAAGTGAAGAATGCAATCATTGTGTAAAATCACACGTGTAAAAGTATTATTAAAGATGCTCTGGAAGTGTTTCATAAAAGATCACTCCTGGTCTTGGGGGAGGTTAGAGCAGGCTGCAGCTATGTTAAGACTTACAGGGAATGGGGAGAAGGAGGGACAAAAATCAACAGCACATGGGACGCATGTGCTGAAAGCAGATCAGTATAACTGAAACACATGTAACTGGTGGGAAAAGGGAATTTGAAGAGGCTGTCATATCTTCTCGTTAACGACATGGGCCAGATTCTACTTGGGAAGCTACAGAAAGCTTCAGGTTGCCAGGAAAGCATTAGATTTTACAAGAGGCCTCTGAATGCACTGTGGGAAGACTGGGAAAGGTGGGACTGGAAGCAGGAGAACAAGCAACCATGGTAGTCAGGACCAAGAAGGGGGCCAGGAGGGTGGGGCCACTTAGACAAGAGCCAATCAAGCAAGGCTTGGCCAAGAATGTGATATCAAAGGCCATGATAAACCCTTTATCAGAATGACAAATGTCATGTAGAAAGCATTAACAAGTCTTGCCACTTGATGTTAAGAAAATACAAGGTTTTGATAAAACAAAGTGTCTAGAGCACTTCTCTTAGAATCCTGTCTTCTGTCTCTTCTATGTATACAAGGAACAAAGCCATTACTGTAAATATTATCAGCTGGGTCTAAAATGTTCAAATATTCCCTTTCCTGCACTGTATCTTCAACCAGGGCATCTTCTGAAGACTTTTTTTTTTTTTCTTTTGTGAAGGAATGCAAGGTACCGGCATGATCAAAAATTATCTGAAAACTTATTAGCAAGCATTATTTGCTACAAATCTATGTGCTTTAAGAATGAACATGATTATAGAGAATTCTGACTTTTTAAGTACATGTCCTGCCTTTCATTAAGTTTCTTTCTAAAATATATTAACGAAAATAAAAGGATTATTTCCCTTTCATTAGCATACTCATTCATTCCTTGTAAAGACACAGTATAAGCCAACTCTCAAGGCCAAGGTCACCGTCTACACCACGCAAAGAAACATGAAGAATGTACACACGGGTAATGGAAGCCGGATTCAGTCACAGTGAAGAGTGATGCTGCTGAATTCCTGGAAGTTACTATTTGCTTTGGAATTTCTAATTTTATATATTCAACTCTGCAACCTCTTTTCAATCCTTAAAAAATACTCTAACTCTACAAAATGAGCATGAGTACACCAGAAGACAGCTCCTGTCAGTTCTCTGTTGGACTTTCCCCCAGCTCATGACATTACAATTTCTTTAACCTATCTGTGCTTCCCACGCCCTATCCTGTAGATACAACCAAGAGTAACAAGTAATGTTCCTAGGTTTACTTTTCCATTAACAGAACTTTTCATTAGTTTTGTTTTTTGGCCAACTCCAGTATTGCTTCCTGAAATCTAAAAACCAAATCTTAAAAGCATATATAATCAGTAATCTTAAAACACTAGCAATTTCCTCACATTTAAAAAAAAAAATGAAGGGCTGGTGGAGTGGCTCAAGTGGAAGAGTGCCTGCCTAGCAAGTGTAAGGCCCTGGGTTCAATCCCCAGAAAGAGGCAGGGGAGAAGGAACCCAAGAAGCATAAAACACTTTTTGCACGGCCTTTTAAGATAAATTATCTTAGGACAGAAAAACCAGACTCTCCCAATGACAATTATAACCAAACTACAGAGCACGAAATGCTGTCTAAAAGTACACAGATTTAAGAACAAGTTGGTAAGATGTAGTGGAAATACGAATTAAGTATCTATATATACTAACTTCCTGGATAAATGAAAACTTGAATGAAGGTTCTCAATTTACACTGAGAAATAAGCTATGAGGATTCTATAGCCGTAGGCCTTCAACAAATATATACCTATGAAGACAGTATGTCAGTGCCGGGTGCCAGTGGTTCACATCTATAATCCTAGCTACTCAGGAGGCAGGTATCAGGAGAATGGAGGTTTGAGGCCAGCCTGGGCAAAGGGTTTTCCAGACCTTATCTCAAAAAAAAAAAAAACACCCCACCACGATAAAGGGCTGGTGGAGTGGCTCAAGGTATAGGCCCCACTACCACAAAAAAAAAAAAAAAAAATGCTGCTACATACAATAGAGTTGAAGTGTGAAGCAGGCTTTATTCCAGACCACCCCTCCAGAATCCACTAATTCCAACTGTGGTGTAGGAGATAGGAATCAGAGTCAAAAATCAAAAATACAAATTTATAGCTAGCCGCACACCATCCTCCTTCAAATTTAACCCCTCTATTAAATCCCCTGGCAATGTGGTAATGCCAGAGCAAAGGTTGATGGTGGATTCTAGGTGGTGAGTATTTGGGTGTGGACTACACAACTTTTCTATATTTGAGTTTCTTTATATTAGTATGATGATGGAAAAATAAGACCTTCTGATGACGTATGGCAACTGCACTGGTAACAGGATTCCTGATTTAAAACTATCCTCTCTGGGAAGACTACAATTAGAAAATAAAGCTACCTGTTGATGGAAAGGTAAAAAGTAGGAAATAATAAACATCAGGCGATATTAAAGACAGACCCTTATAAAGGATGGACCGAAGGCTTCTGAAACTGGATTCTGGACAGTCCTCCACTTAACCCACTCCCAAACTTTTACTAAAACTGGCACTTAAATTTTGTTTATTTGCTGGAAATCAAACCAAGACCTTGCACTTGCTAAAAATCAAGCACTCTACCACTGAGCTACATCTCCCATCCTACCATTTAAAAATTCTGTTAAAAGAGCATTATGTATAATTTTACCGAGCAAGATCAGTCACACACTAAATGGAAAGTCAGAAGCCAGTGCAGCATTCAAAGACCTTTGTAATAGGTCACAAATAAATGCAGAAGCCCATGTCACAAGTATAAAACACACAAAGACAATTTATGAAGAGCCTGAACAAATCCGTGGATCACACCATCTCAGCCCAATGAAGTGAAGTAAATGTACATTTCTGTGAGGGTGATGTCACAGGAGTCACTTATCACAACCAACTAAAAAGCTCCTCATGGCAGTGCCTCAGACACTGTGCTGGGTAGATCAGTAGCCAAAGCAGGACACCGTTCGGTGTAGAGTGAAACTAGGACTTCAAGTCATTCACTTCTGGTCAACCAAAGCTAAAACAACACTATTTTAAAAAGTTGGCCGGGTGCCTGTAAGCCAAACACTCTGGCTGAGCCAGAATCTGGAGGATCTCCCGTTCAAGGCATGCCAGGACAACGTAGTGAGACCCTGCCATAAACAGGTGCTGGTCGCTCACACCTATAATCCTAGCTACTCAGTAGGCAGAGTTCAGGAGGATCAAGGTTCAAAGATAGCCAGGGCAAATAGTTCAAGAGACACTATCTCAAAAAAATCCTTCACAAAAAAGGGCTGGTGGAGTGACTCAAGGTGTAGGCCCTGAGTTCAAACCCCGGTACTGCATGCATAAATAAATAAATAAATGTTGGCAGAGGGTGTAACTCAGTGTGGTTCAACACATGCTGTCAGCACCAAAAATAAATAATAAAATATAATTAAAAAGTTGCTTTGAATGTGTAAATGCTGTCTTACCTAAGTAGAGACAATCTTGAGACAAGAGGCTTACCAAATAAAAGATACAAACCCTGTTTTCAAGAGTATTTTAGAATTTAAAAAATTAAGTCTTATCTCACATATTGTACTCAATGCCAGTAAGACTGGTACTTAGAAAATAATCCACCAGAATGGAACAGGCTGACCCTAATACAATATGACTATGACATATTTTACAACTATAATTTTTTTTTGTTTTTAGTGGGACTGGTGTTTGAACTCAAGCCTTCTTACTTGCCAAGCAGGCACTCTACTTGAGCCACACCTCCAGCCCACAACTATAATTCTTAAAGATCTTTTTAAATAAGAAAATGTACAATTTGTGGACTCTCAGTGTTTACTGCTTACACTATCCTTAGTGTTTGAAATTCCATGTTAAGTAGCTTTTAGTCCCATAAAATTTAGGCCAATGCTAGCTGGAGGGGTGGTTCAAGAGGTAGAGTGCTGCCTTACAAGCACAAAGCCCCAAGTTCAAACCCCAGCACCACCACCAAAAAAAACAAAAAAAAAGCCAATTAGACCAATGCTTACAGATTTGACAATTTCTGAGTAAAGAGAACAATCCATCTGTAGCATCAGAAACACCATTTATTTGATTAAAAGCAGCAAAATATTTTGGTATGAAGAAATATCTAGACTTTTTACTAAAGTAATGTTTGTTATAAATCATCCCTTAAGTAATGCAGCTTAAGCTTTTTGAAGAGATACATTTCACTTACAGTATTATTCAGCTCTATTCAACATCAATGTCAAATTCAGTATTAAAAAGACTGAAAAACACAAGGCCAGGAACTGTGCTTTTACGTTAATTCTCTCTCACATACCTCCCTGTAACAGAAGCAGCAGTAACAGTACTAGTAGTAGGGACTGGGGGTGGAGCTCAGTGATAGAGCAGGTGCCTAACACGCAGCATGTGAAGTCCTGGGTTTGATCCCCAACACAGCAAAAAATGAAAACGGTAACAATGATAGCCAGTACTTACTGAGCACTCAGTAACAATGATAGCCAGTACTTACTGAGCACTCAGCAAGGGCTAGGCACCCACAAGCCTCTCAATAGCAGCATCTGTTTAGTCCTGTTTAACTTTCCCTTGAGGCACCTCTCTGGGGATGAGTGACGTATGTGCTCAAGGTTACCCAGTAAGTTAAGTGGTAGGTGGAGGACTTGAAGGGAGGATCCAAATCCCACAGCAGGCATTCAAAAAGTATTTGACTAGAAAAGACAACCATACCAGGCTCTGGGTGTAGCTCAGTGGTAGAGCACTTGCAGAGGCCCTGCGTTCAATTCCCAGCACTGTGAAAAATACATGAAATAAAAATAATAATTGTTCGTGTTGCGATGTTAGTACTAAGTGTTCTAATTAAATAAATGTATCTGTTGTACTTACATTTTAGTCTTGCAAGTTTTCAAATATTACATACTGTGGTTTGGTACTGAATTAGCAGCGATTTTAATTTTTTTAAAAACTAGTGTGTATTACTTCATATCCCCAGCATTTTTAACCTTTAAAGGGAGCTGAGATAACTTTTAAATGTTTCTGAGATGTGATGCTACAAAAAGATCAAAACTTCATTTAAACTAATCCACTGATTTCACTATCAAACCAATTAACTGAACTTTTTTCAAGCGATAAAATAAAGCTTTCTTTTAAAAAGGTTAAAGAACCTGGTCGATGGTGACTTACACCTCTAATCCCAGCTACTTGGGAGGCTAAGACAGAAGGATTAAAGTTGGAGGCCAGACTGGGCCAACAGTTCTCAAGACTCCAAAATAACCAGAGCAAAATGGACTGGAGGTGCGACTCAAGCCATAGAGTACCTGCTTTGCAAGTGCGAAGCCCTGAATTCAAACTCCAGTCCACCCACTCAAAAAAAAAAAGAAAGAAAGTTAAAGAAAGCAGTACACATATTCCTAAATAAATGAAACTGACAATTTTTAGCCATATATAACCTTCACAAAAAATGTTAGAAAAATCAGTCACCTGCCTTGCATCTCATCTAGCTACAGAAATGAATCCCAATGGCTAATGTAGACTTATGTAAATAAACTGAAAACCTATAAATCCGTTTAGAGACAGAAAACCAGAACCAGTCCTAATGACAGACATAGAGAAAATTCATCCAAAGAGAACAGCGATACCAAGAACTCCTCCTTGGACTCAACTTGAAAATGAGCCAGTTGCATTCTGAGTTTGATGAAACTGTTAGCAATTCTCCCACTAACCTACACATACAATGCTGAGACTCGCAATTTTGCTCGGATTACACTGACATTCTTGTTCCTATGGAAGGAAAAAAAAAAAAAAAAACTGCATAAGACCAGTCTTGTCTTCCTCCAGAGCCTGGAACCAGCACGGACAGTAATGAAAAGAAACGCCTTGAGTCCCAAGGAGCCAGTTCTGCGACATCCATACCTAATGCATTAAGCGAAGGCTAACTCCGGGTTCTTTTTCCTCGTTTTTGTTTTTTTTTTAAGTGACCACACCGTGTTCAAAGAACATTCTCTTTCAAATCCGACTCCTTCCAGCTAACATTTCAGTAACTTTCTCCATGCAAAGGGCAAAAACGATCATTATTAGGATCCTCTAAGTGAGCCTAATACAACTGAAAGCAACCGGGTCGCACCTAAATTTTGGGTCATCCAAGTGGCCCATGCAAACATGCATCGAATAGGACCAACCTAACTACCCACCGTTACTTGCCCCAGCTCTCAAGAGGCTCGAGAGATTCACGCAAAAACCTTTTTTCCAAAAATAAAGGCAAAAAATCTGCTTAGTCCGCCTCATCTACGTGCCAACCAGGGCGCGTCCGGCCCGGGAAGAAAGCGGGAGGGTGGAGTTCACTTTTCCCTCCGGCCGCTCGGAGGCCCCCCCCCCCACCGCCACCAAAAAAGAGCCGGAACCAGGGCCGCAGGACGGTGGGAGCCCCGAGCCCCTCGGGAAGGCGGGGTGCGCGGCCTACGAGAGCCCGCGGCTTCGCTGGCCTGCCTGGGCCCCGAGTCCCGGCCGCCCGCCCTGGCCCGGTCCGACTCGACCCGACCCGATCCGGCCGCACACTCACTCACCCGTCTCCCACCACCACACACTTTATGGCCTGCATCTGGGCCGCTCGCTGGGCCGCGGCGGCGGCGGCGGCCGGGCGCTGAGACGGAAGTAGCGGGCGCGGGAAACGGAGGGCAAAAGGGTGCGGGCGGCAGGGCGCGGGGTGCTAGGACCGCTGTCCACGCCGCCTAGCCCTCCACGGACTGGAAGCCGAAGGCCAGCAGCAGCCACCACCCAAAGCTGAGGGAAACTGCAGAGAAACAGGAAATGGCCGCTCCACTCACATCCGGCCTCCCTTCCCCCCCTCCCCTCCTCGCGCCGGCGCCGCTACTCCCAGGCTGCGGGTGGGGCCGCTCCCGCCCGCGCGCGCGGCTCCCTGGGTTCCTGGGGACTTCTGGAGCGTTCGGGAACACTCGGGAGCCCTCGGAAGCGCTCGGCTCGAGCCGCGGGGCGGGGCGGGGAGGCCGCCATCTTTGTGCGCTATCGCGGTATGGGTGCGGCCGGGGTTTGGGCGTCGAAAGGTTTTCGGGTTCCGGAAATGGTGCCTCGTTAACTCTTGCCCAGGACGGAGGAAGGACGTTGATCCCCCTCCTTTTATTGTCCTTTTTATGTGATAGCTATAAGTTAACGCCATGACATAAAGATCCTTCTAGAAAACTCAGAATCTAAAACTATAAGGATGAGAAAAACCATACATTCTACCATTAAAAATTATCAAAATAAGTAAATTGGGGGGAAAGAAACAGGACAGGGAGAGAGAAATGCCTTCTTTTATTGGATATTTTCAGATAAGAGAATATAATTCATCCATGAATAAGAAAGAGATTATATTAGAAAAAACATAGAAAAAGATAAACAAAAAATTATTTTAAAAAAATCAAAATTTTATTTTGTGATGCTGGAAATTCAACCACTGACCTACATCCCACCCAAAAGATTTTATTTTTAATTACATTAAAAATGAGGGGATTTCATTGTGATAATTCCATATGTGCATTTTTTTTTTAATTCTTGGAAATTAAAAGCAACCTACCAGAAATTAAAAACTCAATAGAAAAGTTGAGATATCAAGCTATGGAAATCTCTCAGAAGGCTCCTAAAAAAGATAAGGATAGATGGAAGACAGGAAACAATGTTAGAAAACCAGGAAGCCCAACCATCCTAAAAATAACCTACAAGAGAAAAAGAAGAAAGAAAAAGCAAATGAGGAAGACCTCCAGGAAATTTCCCGGACTTGAAGGACAGGAGTTCACTTAAAGATTTGGAAAGTACCAAACAGTTCAGTGAATGAAAATAGAGCCACCCCAGAGGCCTTTTTTACGAAACCAAAGCATATTGTGAACAGATAAGATCCTACCAGCTTCCAAAGAGAAAACACCAGATCTTGAGGAAACAGGAAATAGAATGGCTTTGGGTTTTTTTGGTTTTGTTTTGTTTTGTTTTAGCAATTACATTGGTAGCACAGTGTCTTCAATATTTTTAAAGAAAATTTTGTACTCATAGCCAAACTATTGATCAAGTAGGCAGGCAAAGTAAGAACATTTGCAGACAAGTAAGTTTTCAAAAAAGTTTTACCTTCCACATGCCATGTCCCATCCAAGAAGGAACTAGAATATATGTTCCTGCTAGAGGAGCAGGTATAAACCAAAAAAAAGCTGTAAGAAGCAAACACTGGAGCTCCAATGGAGCAGAAGGCAATAATTCCCCTACACCACCACCAGGTCATGGTGACTGTTGTGTGACTCACCCACATTAGAGCAGCAAAACTGTGGCTTCAACCTGTAAGAGGTGCTTAATTCAGGGACTGGTGGCTCACATCTGTAATCCTGCTACTCAGGAGGCAGAGATCAGGAGGTTCCCAGTTTGAAGTCAGCCCAAGGAAACACTTTGCAAGACCCTATGTTTAAAAAAAAAAAAAAGTCACAAGAAAGGGCTGGTGGAGTGGCTGAAGATGTAGACCCTCAGTTCAAACCCCAATGCTGAAAAAAAAAAAAAAAGGTTTAAAATGTTACAGGAGAAGCTTGGCATCTCTTTCTCCATTTTGTACCTGTTGTCCTTTGCTCTGAGCCATTCTCTCCTGCAGCCACCTTGGAATCAAAGAAGGACAGGAATGATCGATAACATCTTTATGACAAGGGACTGAAACTTCCCATGAGGAACAGCAGAGCCTTGCAGGACAGATGCCCTCCAAATGAAGACAATTACCTATAATGATGAGGTTGCACCCTGAAACAGGAGCAATCATCTCATGGGAACCAGATCGCTCCTGACAATGATGACATCTTCTCTGGAACCCCTCTGGGAACCCTTGGACTGAGTTAATGGTAAACCAGAACACACCTGTGACTGGGACTGTTTAACTGTGCACACCTCTGTCTCCCTGCTCCCAGTTCTTTGTCTACTTAAACCTATAGCTCATGTCTGTACCCTGAAGATGGCTGAAGATGAGGTGATACTTCCTCTGCCTCTTCCCATGGCATGTCTCCAGCCATGTAATAAAACTTTTTCTGTCACCATGTCTCTTTATTTGGCATACAGGAGAGTTGACAGACCTGGTACATGGCCTGGGGTCCAAAACTCACACAGGGTCTGTGTCCATGGCCACTTCCTTTGGGTGATCAGCCAGGGAGAGTGAGACATACCAGTGTCACGGGATAGGTGGTCTAAGGAGACCCTGGTCCAGAAGACCTCAGGCTCTTGCATGTCCCAAACAGAGAACTGGACAAGACACAGATTGCAAAGCCATAGTAGAGTTTTATTGACAGTACAGGCAAAGAAAAGGAAAATACGGGCACTGCAAAAGAAAGAGGGGTGGATCCTGGCCAGGTGAGATGGAGGCATAGATCTTTGTTCAAAAGGCAATTGAAAAGTCTTAAGGGCTGGGTACAATGGCTCACGCCTGTAATCCTAGCTACTCAGGAGCCAGAGATCAGGAGGATCACTGATAGAAACCAGTACGGGCAAATAGCTCTGAAGACCTTATCTCAAAAAACCTTTCTCAAAAACAGGTCTGGTGGAGTGGTTAAGATGAAGGCTCTGAGTTCAAGTCTCAGTACCACAAAAAAAAATAATAATAACTCATAAGAGCAAAGGGTGGAGAAAATCTGGGCAGTCTTTTGACAGGTTTGATTGACAGGGTTATCACTTATTTGGAGGTACTGGGGTTTGAACTCAGGGCTTTGCGCTTTCTAGGCTTGTTAGGCAGGCACTGTACCACTTGAGTAGAGTGCTACCAGCCTTTGAGTCACTTTTCATGCATCCTGGGCTGCTCAAACACCAGTACCAAAAAAAAAAAAAAGACTTCTCTTGAGTGGTCTTTTCTTGCCTATTTTTTATCTTTATTAAAAGAAGTTATTGGACAAGGCTGCAGAGTGGCAGGAGTGGCGAAGGTGACAGTAGCAACAATGAGAGGATGATCACATTAGTCAGGCTTTTTTTTAGGTTTTTTTTTTTTTTTTGGTGGTACTGGGGTTTGAACTGAGGTCTTCAGAGGGCTCAGTCCATCGTGGTGGGGAGAACAGGAGGTCAGAGCAGGTCACATCATGGTGACCATGAAGCAGAGTAAAGAAGAAGAAGGGGCCAGTGCAAGACAGAGCACTCAAGGACATGCCTCAGGTGGTCTACTTCCTCCAATTAGGCCCAGCTCCCACCTTTCACCATCTCCTGATAAGGCCATCGTATTATGATATCCATCAAGAGATTAATCTATTGATAAGGACAGAGCCCTATCGATGAGCTACACTTTTTTTTTTGGTGGTACTGCAGCTTGAACTCAGGGCCTTGCACTTGCTAGGAAGGTCCTCTACCACTTGAGCCATTCCACCAGTCCTCTGATGATCTAATTGCCTCTGGCAATGCCCTCCAAGACACACCCGGAGGTGTGCTTTACTGATCTCCTAGGTGTTTCATAATCTGACACGTTCATCAAGATTAACCATCACATCAGCCAGAGAGTTCCAGAGAATGGCCAGGACAAAACAACAAGGAGCAGAAGTGGCAGTGACAATAAGGGACAGGAAGGAGGAAGAAGAGAGGAGGTAAAAACAGGCAGAGAGCCCGGGCTGGAAACCGTGGGCCCCAGGTCTTTGGAAGAGTTCCAGGGAATTTCCAATCCTTAAAGGCCAAAGGCACCAGACATCCTAGACCTGAAAGCAACAGCACCGGCATTGTCAAGGGCTTAGGGCTCCAAAACGCCAGGCCAAGAGCTGTAACACCAGTTGCTATAGGACCTGAAGATCCCAACACCTACGGCCTACTCAGGAGCTGTAACACTAACAGGTGCTGCCTGCTGCCGCCTTCACTGCTGCTGGAAGCCAAGAAGTACAGTGGCTGCCAAGTGGCAGGGAAGCTGGTGGTTAAAGTCCAGGGCAAGAGGCCTCCAGCCTGAGTGCCTAGACCTGTAAGTCTCTGGTTTCTAAGGCATGGAGCAATGGCACCTAGCACTGGGGCTTTAGCTGGGAGCCTCTGAATCTGCCAGTCCAGCCCCTAGGCCTGGGACTCCAAAGGGCCGTGACTCCAGCACTGAAAGAGCTGCTTCTTACCTATTCAGGATTTCTCTCCAGGCAGAGCAAAAGGACCCCAGCCAGCTGATTGCTAACAATAGATGTACATTGTTAAATCGTCATGCTGGCAGAGTGGCCCACACAGTGGGAGTGCCTGCCTAGCAATTGTGAGGCTGTGAATTCAAACCCTAGTACCACCAAAAGACTATATGTACATATATATATATGTGTGTGTGTGTGTGTGTGAAATAGTGCAAGAGAGTTTATTCCAGGGACCTCAAACCCCTGCCCAATCTCTCTTTGGGTCTCTCTACTGCTTTTTAAAATTTATGTGCTAGGCTGGGTGCTACACATCTGTAATCCCAGCACTCAGGAGGCTGAGGCAGGAGAAGCTTGAGTTCAAGGAAGGCCTGGGCTACACAGTGAGTTTAAGGCCAGCCAGAGCTACATAAGCAGACCCTGTCTCAAAAGAAAAAATATTGTGAAGACAAGGAGTATAGTTCAGAGTGTTTGCTGAGTATGTGCAAAGCCCTGTGTATGATCCTCACACCTCCAAAAGTAAATAAGTAAATAAATAAATTTAAAATTGTGAAAAATAATCAAATTAAAGAAATGGGGATTAAACTTGAACTACAGTTTAGGGGTATTCACTTTTAATAATCT